TATCAACCATCTGAACATTAACGAATAAAATGAACAGTTTTAAATTCTAGATTATTCTAAAGAGTCACCAACATTTTTAAATATAAGAGGCTAGGATTTGGGACTGTTTAGTTTTTTTGTCGACGTTTGGATGGTTTATAAAGATAATTAGATGACATTCGAAAGACATTTTTGACTTTTCAAATATCACTTAATGGCTGATTGATGGACTGATTAGCGATATGTACTGCATTGTCACATTTTAAAAATTCGGATAATCACGTTTTATATATACACTCTTAACAATTGGTGAGAGGACAATTTCAAAGAATACAAACAATAATAATGCATCTTTTGACTAGAATAATAGTTAAAGTAGAAATTGTTTATATGAAAAAAGTTTCTTGTGATCGTGTCACCAAGTGCCAACTTGCCCTATACAGCAACCCGCACGGCATGTATCTTTCATTCGTTGATTCCTTTTTCATATTGCCCTATAACAAATAATGAATAACATTGATAAAAAAACACCACTAATATCAAATTAAAAAAATAAAATTGGATGACTAAATCCAGATTTTTAAAACAATAAAATAAAATAGGACAATATTAACTATACATATAAATCAACAAAAAAATTAAAATATGATACTTTTAACTATACATATAAATCAATAATAGGAAATTCAGATTATTCCAGATAATTAAAAACACCACCAATATCAAATTAAAAAAAATAAAATAGGAAATTCAGATTATTTCAGATGATGTTGTTGGAACTCTTTCCTTTGAGAGAAACTATTTATCTATTTTTTCATTTTTGCATTTTTTCTTTTTTTTTTGTTTTAAAAATATAAAAAAGTAACCATTGCTTATCTTGATTAGATTAATAAAGTTGTACATTGTTAGAAAGAGACCATTGGTTCAAAGGTCTCTTATTTTAATACATGTTATTATTACATTTAAAAAAGACATTTAAGAGAGAGAGAGAGAGAGAGAGAGAAGTGAGTGAGTGAGAGAAAGGGAGGGAGTTGTAATAATAAGGGTAAATTTCTTAAACGATCCTTATGGTTTAGCTAAAAGACTAAGTGTACCCTTACTATTTGAAAATTGACTAACATTACTCTTACTATTTCTGATAATTGACTAACTCTACCCTTATGATTAACATCCATTAAAATCCGTACACACACGATATTATGTGACGTTTAAAATTTTTTAAAACCCAAAGCTACCCTTGTCTCCTTCCTCTCGACCTGGCACACCCTTCATCCTTCCACCTCTCTCTCTTCCCTCTATCTTCCTCCCACAGTCTCCATCAACACTAGATCACTGGAGAAAACTACACCGTATCCGCACCATATGCACTAGACAAAGCTACATTCTCAGACATTAAACATTGACTTTATCCTGTGTATTGAGATGTTGCATACTCACAATCACTTTGAACACGAGATGAGAAAGACGAATCACTGGTGTGTTGCACCTGGCAAATTTTGGGAAGCTCATCTAAAACTGAAGGATGAATACGAGGGTCAAAGAGCACTTCTTTGAAATCATTCTCTGAACTTCACAGGGCTCAAGCACACAAAGAACACTTCATCCTCTTTCTTCTTCAACAATGGGGGTGCTCTGAAAAGCAAAGAACGAGTGAGGCAGCGGCAGCGGCAACCGAAGTGGTATGAGCGAACTAAGGCGACGGTGGCGGAAGTCTGATATTTTTCTCTCTCTTCTTCCTCTAGGTGACTGCGGCATTGGCAACCGAAGTGGTATGAGCGAACTGAGGCAACGATGGCGAAAGCCCGATCTTTCTCTCTCTCTTCTTCCTCTGGGCGATGGCGGCGGCGACAACCCCTCTGAAGTCCGATCTTTCTCTTTCTCTTCTTCCTCTAGACAACAGTGGCAGAAACCCCTCTGAAGTCCAACCTTTCTTTCTCTCTCTTCTTCCTCTGAGCGACGGCGGTGGCAACTCCTTTGAAGTCCGTTTATCTCTCTCTTCTTCCTCTAGGTGACAGCTGCGGTAACTCGAATTTCGATCTTTCTCTCTCTTCTTCCTTTGGATGATGGCGGCGACAACCCCTCTAAAAGACCGATCTCTCTTCTCTTCCTTCTTCCTATGGGCGATGATGACAACATTCGCCTCTAAACTCCACTCTCTCTCTTCTTCCTCTGGGCGACGATGACAGCACTGCCATGTAACTCCACCCAGCAGCGGGAGTTACAGGGTTGTCATAGACAGCATTGCCATGTAACTCCACCCAGCAACGGGAGTTACAAGGTTGTCTTAGAGCTCTATTTTTTAAGCGGCACGGTAGTTTAGGCATTTTCACAGGTTTTGGTGGAAGTTAACAATAAGAATAGAGTTAGTCAATTGTGAGAAACAGTAGGGGTAGCCTCAATCAATTTTGAAACAGTAAGGGTATAGTTAGTCAATTACTTAAACCATAAGGGTAGTTTAAGAAATTTACCCTAATAATAATTACTGTATTTTAAAATTTACAGTATTAATAATAATTACAAGATTTTTAATAATTAACAATAGTATTAACCGTATTTATTAAAAATAATGGCTTTATTAATTAATAGTATTTTTAAATAATTACCAGTATTTATTCACAAACAATATTAAATAGTGTATTTATTAATTAATATAATGTAAGTTATAATTTATTAAAAATAGTATTTATTAACTAACAATAATTAAATAATTAGAGTATTTTATTAACTAACAGTATTAATTGTACTTTTAATTAATATAGTATTTTTAGTAATTACAATGTTATTATTTAATCAAAAGTATTTATTAATTAACAGCATTTTTAAATAATATAGTACTTTTAATAATTACAACGTTTTTAATAATTATAGTATTTTAATTAATTAACATTATCTATTAACAATAATGTATTTTTATTAACATTATTTTTAATAATTACAGTATTAATAATTAACCATATTTTATAATATTTTCAATAATTATTGTATTTATTAATTAACAGTATTAAAATAATGTATTTTATAGCATGGTTTTAAAAAACAACACAAAAATGGAACCATTCTAGCCACCGATTTCTGGGTTGACGGTTCGACCATTCGGTTTGAACGGGCAGCCCATTTTGACAAAAAAAATTAAAAAAATAATTAAAAATAAAAATAGCCAAAACTGTTGAACGGGTCGACGGTTCGACCGCCTGGGTCAACATGATCAACCGTTGGTCGATTCAATGGTTTTTGGCCAGGAACCGGGTTTGGGGTAAAATGGAACTAGTTGCCTAAACGGTTCTTGGGCCGAACAGTCCGACCATTTGGGTCAATGGCGGTTCAAAAACCATGTTTTACAATATTAATATTACTTATTAACCATATTTTACAGTATTAATATTTTAAATCTGTTAATTAATGTAAGTTATAATTTAAATAGTATTTTAAATATTATTTAAATTATATTTGAAACTGTAAGTAATATAATTACATTTTTAAACAGTAATTGAAAGTAATTATATTTAAATTATTTATTTAAATATAATTTATTCTATAAATAGCAGAAAGTTACATTTATGAATAGAAATTATCGAAGAAAATAACCAAAAACGGATTAACATGATTTCCAATAAATATGATAAATTACCAAAAATTAAAAAAATATAACCTTTAAAATTACTTTTTGAGAGAAGCTATTTATCTATTTTCTCAATTTTTTGCATTTTTTCTATTTTCTTTTGTTTTAAAAATAAAAAAGAGTAATCATTGCTTATCTTGATTAGATTAATAAAGCTGCACACTATTCGAGAGAGAGACCTTTGGGTTTTCCAAGGCCTTTTATTTTAATGCATGTTATTAATACATTTCAAAAAGAGATTTAAGAGAGAGAGTGGGAGGGAGTAGTAATAATAATTACAATATTTTAAAATTTACAGTATTAATAATAATTAATAGTATTTTTATTAATTAACTGTATTTATTAATTAATAATATTTTTATTAAATATATTGTTTTTTAAATAATTATCAGTATTTATTCAAAAATAGTATGAAATAATGTATTTATTAATTAATATAATGTAAATTATAATTTATTAAAAAATATTAATAAGTATATTAATTAATATAGTAATTAAATAATTATAGTACTTTATTCATTAGCAGTATTAACTGTACTTTTAATTAATACAGTATTTTTAATAATTATAGTATTATTAATTAATTAAAAGTATTTATTCAAATACTGAATTTATTAATTAACATTATTTTTAATTAATATATTAATTTTAGTAACTATAGTATTTTAATTAATTAACATTATTTATTAAAAATAATATATTTTTGTCAATAGTTTTTTTAATAATTACAGTATTAATAATTAACCATATTTTAAAATATTTTCAATAATTGTAGTATTATTAATTACAGTATTTATTAATTAACATTGTTTATTGAAATATTTTATTTATTAAAAAATATTAATATTTTTTATTAATTCAATAATTAACATATTTTTAAATTGTTAATTAACGTAACTTATAATTTAAATTGTATTTTAATATTATTTAAATTATATTTGAAACTGTAAGTAATAAAATTAAATTATAAACTGTAATTAAAAGCAATTATATTTAAATATGATTTAAGCTATAAATAGCAGAAGATTATATTTAATGAACAGAAGTTAGCCAAGAAAATAACCAAAAATAGAGTACCAATAATTTTGTCATAATTACCAAAAATTTCCAAGAAATTACCAAAAATGGATTAACATGATTTCCAATTAATATGATAAATTACAAAAAATTAAAAAAATATATATAACCATTAAAATTACTTTTTGAAAATATGTACTAATTATCAATAATCTTCAAGAAGTAAATGTAATTAGTTCATAGTGTATTTAAAATAAAATACATTTGCTTTTTCGTATAAATTATAAATTATATAATTTAAACATTATAATCCTTACCTATGATGATATTAGTGCATAATGTTACAATGGAAAATAGAAAAAATGTATTTACTATTATTTATTTCCATTCACTTTCACTCAACAAAGCCCGGATCCCCGCTAGTATTGCAAGAAAACCGGACTCCCCTGCTAGTGCTGACATCTAACACTCGTTTGAAGTGCTACCAAAGAGGCATAAACACCATCTTGAATATTGATCAGATTCTCATGCTTTCCTCTCTCCACAATGACTCCATTTTCCACTACCGCTATTAGATCAGCACCTTTAATTGTTGACAACCGGTGAGCCACCATCACTGCCGTCCGGCCCACCATGACCCGGTCCAATGCTTCCTGTACCACTCGTTCTGATTCCACATCAAGTGCGCTTGTCGCCTCATCTAGGAGTAATATCTTTGATCCCTTCACCATTGCACGGGCTATTCCCACTCTTTGCTTCTGCCCTCCCGACAATTGCGCTCCTTTTTCTCCTACTATCGTGTCATACCCCTGCATTTTGTTTTCATTTTCAGTTTTGAGAAACAGAAAACAGAAACCAATTTAGAATCAAATATATATAGTTCAATTACAGTGTTGCACCTGTTGCAATCCACAAATGAACTCATGGGCATTTGCCAACTCTGCTGCAGCCAAAATCTCTGCTTCTGATGCATTTCCTTCCTTCCCATAAGCAATGTTGGCTCTGATTGTGTCATTGAACAAAACTGGTTCCTGGCTCACTAATCCCATCTGTTGCCTCAACCACTTCAGTTGAAACTTCTGAATTTCAATCCCATCCAGAGTGATGAGACCTGAATTCGGTTCATAAAATCTCTGCAACAAGGAGATTATTGTCGATTTCCCACATCCACTTTCTCCAACCAAGGCAACTGTCTGACAAAATGAGACTTTGAGATCATTAGTTTTAATTTGCAAGTGAGCCATCTGACTAGTCTAAGTGATGGTTTGAATTGTCTAGTAACTGTTGATTATATCAATACTTTATACACAAGAGTCCATATGTTCAAATGAGTTAAACATGAAAGACAACATGTCAACAAGAGTTACCTGGCCAGAATGAATTGTCAAGCAAAGATCTCGGAAAATCTGAATGTCAGGCCTTCTGGGATACCTAAAGCAGACATGCCGAAACTCTATTTCTCCCTTCACATTTTCTAATGTCATTCCAGACCCATCACCTGGGTCTATCTTCGACTTTCGATCAAGAATAGAAAATATTGAAGCAGTAGAAGTCTTGGCCTTAATGGCATCATTTATGAAAGAGCTAGATTGAGAAATCCTTGTAGCAGCCATGGTAAGAGCAAAGAAAACCTGCCAGTCAGGTTGAGAGACGGCCCATATATTAAATCAGAAAACATATTGAATCTCAATTGTATGAAATTCAAAAGCATCTTCACACAACTTAAATGAAATGTTGAAAATACAAAATGAATACTTACATGGAAAACCTTGGAGAATGTTGTCTTTCCATCCTCGACAAGTCGGGCTCCAGCATAGAAAATAGTTGCATATACAGTATACAGAAAGAAAGAAGAAAGCCCAAAACCAACTCCACTTATTACCCCTTGCCTCATCCCTGCCCTCAAAGGGCCTTCACATTTCTTTTTGTACAGTTTCATCACCTTATCTTCAGCACAGAAAGAAGCAACTGTTCTTATACTCCCAACTGCATCTTTAGCCACTTGACTTGCTTCCTCGTACATCAGCTGCAAGTTAAATCATATAGATGTTAGAAATTTCAGGTTTTACTTACCAAAGGGTGCTCAATGTATGTGGGACAGTAAGTGTGTGAAATAGACAATGATAGTGACAAAATTGTTGATGGTCTTGGTCATATGAACATCAGAATGAAACTCCAGAGTATGATTTGTTAAGTACTAGAATCTCCAACATTTTAGTTTGAATTGTGATCATAAATGACACCCAAACCACCAAATGCAACCTCATTTTCTTCAAAGAAAACAGGATCAAATGCTACATATTTTTACATTCATATTATATGGTTTTATTCTACCTTTCTTTTCCTTTTGAAAAACAGACTATTGCTTAGCATTCATTAGCAATCAGACATAAAATGAATCACCATGAGTTTAAGTTCAACCTTTGCATCTGCACTGAATCCTTTCTTGAACTTCGTCTGAATCCATCCATTAGTTCCTATCATAGGCAACAAAGCAAGGAATATAAGAGCGAGTTGCCAATTAGCTTCAAAAGCAATAATCAAACCAGCAATTGCCGTTGCGGTGTTCTGAACAAGCTGAGCAAGTGCATCACCGACCAAACTGCGGACGGTTGCTGCATCTGCAGAAAGCTTTGCACCAATTGCACCACTTGAGTGCTCAGGATCATCGAACCAACCAATCTCCATGAGAACAACCTTTTCAAAGCACATTGACCGTACCCGTTTTACTAACTTACACCCAGCCACAGCAAAAAAGTATGTCCGTGCAAGAGATGCTACTAATGTTGTCAGCCCAAGTATGACAAACATCAAAGCCCAAAACTGTAAATCCCTCCGAAGCTCACTTGGGGGTTTGTAGAATGTTTTGATTATGCTAGAAAGTAATATACTAAAAACTGGAAAGATAGAGCCATTGATGACTGCAAATATAACACCAAGTAGCATCACTGGGATCTCTGGCTTGTTGAGATAGGCAAGCCGGTGGAGTGGGACTTCTTGAGACTGTTTTGGTGGTGCTTCAGGCAGGCTTCTAGGTTCTGCAGTTGCGTTTTCTTGGATTTTGGGTCCAGTAGGTAAGCCAAATGAAACTGAGGAGTGGTAGCTACTATGTCCAGCCCCAGATGACTCTAGACTTATGGAATCCATGAATGACATTAGTTCACTCAATGGCCTGCCAGAATCCATCGTAATTTCTGGTCTGTCTTCAACACTTATCGCATGCTGTTCTGACTCTTGGTTCATTTCTTGAAGGTGTATAAGCTGGCAATATACTCCACTGCAATCCTTAAGCAGCTCTGAGTGTGAGCCTGGTATGCAGAAACAAACAACTTCAAGTGCCTGTTTCTCTTTTAATTACATACAGAAAAATGTCTGACAATCCAATCATTCAAAAATTTAAAAATAAGAAAGCAGAAAGACCTCATATTCAGTAGATATTGAACCTATGAGATGTCTCTTCTAGTAAAGGAGTTCAGTAAAGTGTACCCTGACTATAAGTATTAAACGAAATACTTTACCCTTTTCAACAATCTTTCCCTGATGAATGACAGCAATTATATCAGCATTCCTCACAGTACTTAAGCGATGAGCCACAATGACAGTAGTTCTATTGACCATGACCCTGTCAAGCGCCTCTTGCACAATTCTTTCAGATTCTGCATCAAGTGCGCTTGTAGCTTCATCTAGAAGTAGAATCCGTGGGTCTTTCAAGATTGCTCTAGCAATTGCAATTCTTTGCTTTTGGCCTCCGGACAGCTGAGTGCCATTCTCACCAACCATAGTGTCCAATCCCTAATACAGTAAATGAATAAAAAAATGAGATTTGGAAAGTAAACAGATCACTATTCTCATCAATCAGATGTAGTTGTCAACAATTGATGATTCCAAAATTACAAACCAGGCAAATTCATTTGAATAGATGTTTACATAGAAAAAGAAAATGACAAGGCACAGATAGGTCGAGAAAAGTCATCCATTACACTGCATGAAACAGGTACAACTTTGTCTAATGAATTCATGATTACGAAAATGGAGTTCACTACCTATAACCTGTAAGTATAAATTTTTCGAAATATAGGTATTCTTGATTCCTAAAGTTGTCTGGGATTTTAGCATCCTTTTTATCCTCTTTCTGTCAAACAGCTAAAACAGAATCTTCAATTTAATAAAACCTTTCAACTGAAAATATCTCCCTATGTTCAGTGAATGCACATGAGAGTTTAGAAAAACCTGATTGGTACGATGGTAAGATTTTGGATTGTGAATCATTAGTGAATGGAGTAAAAATGAATTAGTAATAAGAGATATTCCATCTCAAGTTGTTATTCTCTACTTCTCTACTAAAGGCTCTTTTACTTTGGAAACTCCAAGTTCGGTGGACTAGAGGGAAGAATTCTTTCTCTGTATTCAGATTAAAATGAGTAGCAGCATCTTCCTCTGTTTATACACTATTTCAATAAGAAAAAAAATAAAATAAAAACTCATAGCAGTGATTAAGGGCAATTGTTGGAAACTGGACCAGACCAAGCGGTCAAACCAGAGTTGGACCCCAACCAGGAATCAGACACTTTTTCATTCAATGCCTCATCAAGTTTTCCAAAACATTGGTTTAATAATAAAAAAGAGGGGAACCTGAGGTAGCTTATCTATGAATTTGGCAGCATTGGCAAGCTCAGCAGCAGCTCTGACTTCTTCTATAGTTGCATCTTCTTTCCCATAGGCAATATTGTCTTTGATACTGCAAGCAAACAGCACAGATTCCTGGCTGACAAGCCCAATTTTCCTTCTCATCCATCTTAGTTGAAACTCCTTGAGGTTTATACCATCTATAAGAACTTCACCCTCTTGTGGATCATAAAATCTCTCAATCAAACTAACCACTGTAGACTTCCCACTTCCACTTTGTCCAACCAAAGCTGCAGTTCTGCCACTAGGAATGGAGAGAGAGAATCCATTGAATATTTGCTCTTCTGGTCTAATTGGGTAACTGAAGCAAACATCTCTTAACTCAATGTCACCACAAATATCATTTAACATGCATCCATGACTATCATAAGCATTTATATCAGGTTTTCTTTCGATTGTCTTGAACATTTTAAATGCAGCAGCTTGTCCAGCAGAAAATGCAGCAAGGCACGGAGATGCCTGACCCAGATTCCTAAATAGATCAGAAGCATGCAAAAGGGTGAACAAGTAGACCTTTATCAAATTAAAGACCAACAATACTACCATTCATGATGAGCTCTCTATTTTCATGCACATACATTCAAACAAATGGAGGCAAGCGTCTTTAGTTTTTCTGATACAATGAGCTCAATAAATTAATCAAGAATGTTGGAAGCAAAGGAAGAAGCAAATTGGAACTTACACGGAGCCAGTCAATAGAGCAAAAATTATGTTAATGACATCACCTCCTGTATATCCTTTATCTAGTATCAGTCTTCCACTATGCCATAAAGCCAAAGCATAACTGCAGAATACCACAAACATAACCATGCCAGTACCTAATCCAATTGCCAATCCCTCACGAACACCAGACTTGTAAGCATTCATTAGAGATTTATTATACTTAGAAATAGCTTGCTTCTCTCCAGTAAATGATGCAACCTGTATACAAACTCATTGTCAGTCTCCCTTGAAAAATCCAAAACGAAAAACAGAATGCCTTATGTCAAACTAGAGTCCAATACAACATATAAATCTTCTATAACAGCAAGTCTACATACAGTCCTTATTGAGCCAACTGTCTGTTCTACTACAACTGATGCTTGTGAATAAGCAGTTTGTCTACAGGATGCCATCTTGAATGTAATGATGGATGTCACTGCACCAGATACCACAAGAGCAGGAACAGATGACAACAGAATAAGGGTGAGAAGCCACCCTTTAATAAAAGCTACAAGAATGCCTCCTATAAAAGCTGATGTAAGCTGTATAAACTTGGCAACCTGAAAATTAGGATAAAGAAAGGAAGTTTACCTTCAACTTTAATCTTTAATGTTCAATGTAAATATAGTATAATTTGATGATTGTTAGTTTCATTAATTTGAAGTGGTAGTGTCAATACCTTCTCACCCATGGCATCTTGAATGAGAATAGTATCACCTGACATCCTCCCTACAACTTCTCCAGTGTTTGTTTCCTTGTCATAGAAACTTATATCTTGCCCCAATATGGTTTTTAAGTATAGATTCCTTATCCGTGCTGCTTGTCTTTCCCCTGTAACCATCCAACAGGCCACCTCTGGCAGATAATAGAGAGAGGCTTTCTAAGTGTTAGTTGTCAAGATATTCTCTATTAACAATGGATTTGTGTAATAAGTGATTGGTTTACTTACGCAAGAATGATGCAACACCTGTATACACAGCCAAGTAAACAAACCTTAAGGATACCTGAAGGCATGATAAGATAAAGTTATAACTAATTTAAGCTTGTCTACATTTTGATATTTCCCTCTGGCTTCTAGAGAAAGTATGACAAACTTATAAATTGTACTATGAAGTTGGACTTTCTATTGAAAAGGGAGATAATAGTTGAATGAGTATAAAAAGATGAGATATTCTGAACATTGAAGAAATGCCATATCGAAAAAAAACAAACTTGGAGCTCTACTCACCAACTACATGAATCCTTATACCTTTGAAAATTAGTATTCAAAGTTAAATTTCAAGTTAAATATACTTCCACACCTTTAGGGTCAAACAGACAAATTCAGATAGAGAATCCATTTCCTTTTTTGCTAATTTCAGTTTTTATCATGTAAAAAATCTAAAAAATATAGCGGCTCATACTATAGCTAACAGGGTTTGAATTAGTGACGGTAATCTCTTTTTTGACCATCCTCCCCCCTGCCTTAGTCTCCCTTAGTCGAAGGAAGCGGCTTTTTTATGGTGTTCTCTGTGCTTGTGTTATTTTCTTTTAGTAATGATATATTTTGATTACAAAAACAAAAAACAAATCACAAATGCACATTAGAGATGTCCCTGTGGATATAATTATCAAGTTTATTTGCTGATACATACCTGGGAAACTGCATGAACCACATGGCTAGTGTTGGCATTTTCTCCAAAGGAATCAATTAGCTTCCCAAAAAGTACAGTCATGAGGGGCATGGAGACACCATTTCCAAGAGCTCCAATTGTGCCAATAGTCATCAATACAACATCCTTGGAATCTGCAAAGGAGAAGAGCTTGTAATATGGAACAGTGTTAGAGTTAGTAGCCTCTTCTCCGCCATTGTTCTTTTGAAAATCATGTTGGCCATTGGTTTTTCCTAGGACTGGGTTTTCATTTGTCACATATACTGGTGAATGATTCGTTGACATGTTGGCCTGGTGGGTCTTTTTATCACCATTCAAACCATTCTCTTCGGACATACTTCCAACTTGAAGGTTTTCTAATTGCTACCTATCATCCGCCACAAAATTTCAAGTCTTTTGAACTGAAATCACAGCTGCAAGACAATAAGAAGAAAATACTGAAGGAAATGAGCAACCTATAAGCAGTAAATAGATATATGATGATGTATTGGAAGATGATCATAGGCCAACAAGATACTAGAATTTGATAATTATTAGAGTGTCGTAAGGAACAGAATGTTGGCAATGAGGAACCAACGTAACCATAAAATAAGAATAGCCTAGAGGAGAGCGTTGAGATGGGTGAATGACAGAACCAAGAAGGATATCATGACTATAAAGAGAAGCATGCTTGTGTGAACTTATAAGAAGTAACTTTGAGCGAGTGATGACTCATGAGATGAAAATAGTTAGACCATGTACATGGAAGGCTGTGGGACGTGGGTTGTGATGTAGTGAAAAATGATGGTTCCAGAAAAGATACCATTGTTGCAGAACAGGAGCCTTGTAGCTAACATAAAGTAGTTGTGATAAGGCGTTGTTAAGCAGTTGAGCACTTTGAGATTCTTTTCCCATTCCATTTCATTTATACCAATATAAAAAATGAGACCATATATCGCACAAGGAGGAAATGGGTGGATCCAAAATATCTTTCACAGTTCCTGTTTCTGTTGTTCCAACAACTGATGGTCATTAATAATATTCAATCTAACTAAAAAAATATTCAGGTAAAGAGGGAGGGGGGTATTTACACGATATTTTCAACTAATAAAAATATATTCTGCAACTTTTCAGGTAAAGGTGGAGATATTTACAGTTGGAAACATAGCCTAAAAACTACAAATTTGGAAAAGAGAGAAGGACATCATGTACAGAACCCACTAGAATTGGCATCTAAGTTTCAAACTTCTTGTATGTTTTAAGTTACGAGAATTCGTTAGTTTTCCATTGTTTAGGATTCGGTTCAAGGACTTACTTGAGTAGAAATTTATATGTAGGTTGTCGTTTGTGCACCTGGATTTACTTGTTTCGTGCAGCAGCAAAGTTTGCTTGAAGTGCAGCTTTCATCAGTCAAAAATGCCCAGTTCCTTCTCAATATAAATCAGAAATCAACTTTATTTGTTATTACTTAATAGTTTAATTCTTTGTCCAAGTCAGGCGGGTTGGGCCGGGCTTAAGGCCCAAGTCCAGATCAAGCCCGAGGTTAACCTGGACCTTTCCAACCTGAGCCCAGCCCGCACTTTAATTTGATGCATTCAAGTTGGGTTTGGACGACAGTATCCACGATGTACAAAACAATGCAATCTGGGTGTGCGGGGCTGGCCATGGTGGGCCGTACGTAGTAATCCATATTCCATACAGTTTGGAAGATTGTAGATTGATGGAAATTGAATATTGAATATACCATGCGCATTATGTCCACTGTTGGCTGTCTTTGATACTACGGTGATCTCACCTCACCTCACCTCACCTAGACCTAACCCTAGGTCTAGGGAAAAACCTTTCGATGCGAATTAGTGGAGTTTGACAGAAAGGACCCAATAATGTTGCCTAATGCCTAACGGAGGCATTGGTGGTTGATATGACATGTGTTTTCAGTATTCATGATGTCGATGGGGTTAGTCAAACCCATAAAATGCCGGTGCGTACAGACCATAAATAATTCTTTAGAATGTGCAGCATTGGTGGAGCCTCCAACCCATTTTAGTCCAAGTCTTTGGTCTCCATTAACCCACAGCTTTTGTAATGATCACCCCTCTAGTTGCTGCAAGTTGCAAGGCTTTCATTTCAATGAATCTAATTGAAATCAATCATGGTATAAAGCATCAGAAATATAAATTGTATTGTAAAGAACAATTTTAAAAGATGTATTTTTGGATACACATAAATTAATATATATATATATATATATAAGTATATGTTTAATAATATAATTATAATTGAATAATATATCATAAGTTCGTTGCAAGCACAAAAACCTATGCTTTGTTGGGCTGGGCCAGACTAAGGCTTGAACGTTGAATTCTAAATTCTAAAAAGGGCTAAGAGAAAATGAATACATAAAAGAGATAAGAGTGAATAGACCCTAAGAATGATCATTCCTAACAGAAATACAACTTATCTTGATATTGACATCTGATGAACTCAAGGGCATCACGTATAATGATCTAGCTAGCAAGTAGTTTGATTGGATCATTGGATCCTTCAATGTTTCTACAGGCTATATAGCACGAGTTTTCATAAACTAATAAGGAAATACCATTTGGGCTTTCAATGGCTAAAGGAGTAGGAGACGGTGATTGCAAGTGCCATTTCCTCATGTATGGGCCATATGCCTCTAATAGAGGTTTATGGAAATAATCCCTCTATCTATCTTAACCAACGAAAATGTTTGCTTCCACTTCAAATGGATTCCAAGAAAAGAAAGAGCAGAAATAGAAATGGGATTTCTCACCCAACTGATGAGCTGCGGCAAGGCATACCTGATACCCCAACCCCTAACCCATACCCATAATATATATACAGTCTGAGTCAGTTCCATTGTTATGTCTTAATTTTCAAGCCTCGCATCGTGAATATCATATACAGCACAAATCTTAGCCCTTGATGAGAGTTGATGATAATGAAAATAAGTACGTACGTAGCATATCATTATAAAATTTTGATGGCAATTTTTCTCAATGCAATATTAATTGCACCCATTATTCATTCGGTGAAGAAATTATTTTCTAATTGGGGTTACCACTAACGCCTTGACATTTGATCAAGCAACTGTGGTAGGTGGACCCCCTGGACACTCCACGTCATCAAACGGACTCCCTTCCTTGGTGTTGGTGGACATCCTATAATTGCCACGGGGATGATACTAGAGCCTTGTATGGGGACCATGTGAACTGGGGGACCCCACCCATAGTCCACCTGGTTGAACCCCAATCTGCCCCACTCGGATATAAACAGTGTGGTGTACGCCAGAGGTGGGGCGAATGGGTCCATACCCTCCCCCGCATCATCACCCTTCATCCACTTGGTGAATTGGACCCGCAGCTGAGCCTTGGCCTCTTGTATTAATTTCACAACCTCCGCATTTGATGCGCGTGAGACCGTCTCACAATTGGTCGTCACCGTTACCGGAAAGAAACAATTACCATAGTAACCATCTGGCAGTGGAGGGTGAAGGAGGTGACGAACGTTCGCAAAGAACACAAGATCGACTTTGGTATCGCCCTTGAAATTTAGCGCCCGTGTTCTGCACCTCCACATTGTGGCAGCTACGACTTCAAATGTGGAGCAACGTCGACCACCTGTCAGCTCTGAGAATTCAAGCTTGAGTTGATTGATTCGGTCTAGAGTAACATCTATGGACGCATGCTCTAGCTGGTAGTCCGGTAGGGATGGAAATGGTGGTGGTGATGGTAGATTTGGGTCGTCTCTGGCCACGCCTGTTGGTGGTGGTGGACTTGGGAGGGCTTCTCTGTGCCAAACTGGGGCAATACTGGGATGTTGCAGACCTCTGGCCATCTCGCCTATAGCATTCAGGAATTGTGCAGCTCCAAGGCCATCACAAATACTATGGCAAAATATGAGCCCCATCACAAACCCGTTGCATTTAAACTGAGTCACCTGACAATTAATGTAAAAATAAATAAATAAAGCAAGCTCATGAATTATGACTAGTGAATGAATTGACAAGTAATATTAGATGTATTAGGGCATGTTTGGGAGTTTTTTTTTATTTAAAATAAGTGTTTATTTGGGCCATTAAACACTTATTGATATTTGGAAAATAAGCTCAAAATAAGTACTTATTTTAAAATTTTTTCAAGTGCTTATTTTTTAAGTCTAAATTTCTAGCTTTTTTTAAGTGCTTATATAATAAGTACTTATTCAGTTTTTTTCTTCCAAAATTATCCCTAGTTGAATTTTAAAATACCCCTTATAAAATTATCCCTACTTGAATTTTATAGAAATACTTTTATGAAAACACTTTTATAAAAGTACTTTTAGAAAGCACTTTTAAGAAAGTATTCTTATGAAAGGATTTTTACAAAAAGCATTTTTATAAAAATACTTTCACGAAAGCACTTTTATGAAAGCACCTTTACGAAAGCACTTTTACAAAAGTACTTTTACGAATAAAAGTGCTTTCGTAAAAGTACTTTTATAAGTGTTTTTTATAAAAAAATACTTTCATAAAAGTACTTTCTTAGAAGTTCTTTCGTAAAAGTGGTTTTATAAAAGTGCTTTTGTAAAAATGCTTTCGTAAAAGTTCTTTTAAAGGGTATATTTTGAAAACTTGATAGAAAATGAAAGACAAAATAGTCACAAATGCTTATTTAAGTGCTTATTAGAGAAAAAGATTACCAAACGGCCAATATAAAATAAGTGCTTATTTTAAATAAGTGCTTATTTGATGAGCACTTATTTTTAACTTAAGCACTCCCAAACATGGCCTTAGTGTTAGGAAACCTAGAAAAGATACTCATACACATATTCCATATGTTCCTCATATATCGCTCTTCACACCAACCTCACAACACGTTCCAACCATGCACCGGGAAAATCTTCTATACGTGTGTATTATTTATTATTCATGGGGATTGGGGAGTAGACCTATTCATGTTCTGGACTTGGGTTTGGTTTTTACCAAAAATTGAATGGGCCCAACCCGAAGCTCAAGCCCAAAACAGTGCAAAGTTAGGCCTAAAGCCCAGCCTATGAACAGGTCTAATGATGGGGTGAGGTCGGTGTGAAGTGCAGTAATCATATCCCTGATTCATCAAAAACCCATTCTCACTGAATCACGGCTCTTCTAGCTATATACCTGCATTAGCACAAGAGGATTCATGGCAAGGGCATGGGTTTGGGGAACAAAGTCGGGAAGGAGATCATCATGGGGGACCTTATAAACATTGTCGAAATAATTGACAGCGTCAAGGCCACAATCAGCAAATGCCTCGACAAACCAGACACCTTCTCCGGTACAGGCAACCTGGACGCCGCCTAGGCTGCTCGACTCCTTGAGCCTCCCTGCAAGAGGATAGTATGGAACCAGTGCCTTGGACAAGGCATGTTTGATGAGCGTGGCAACTTCAGCTGGGCCATGCCTGAAGACATGCAATGTCCTAGCATAGCATCTCAAGGCCGGCAGCCTATCAATGGCTGAGAGATGGAGGGTGCCTCCTGTGGGCGTCGTTTTAGATGGTGGAACCAATCCTCCAGCAGTTCGCTTCACAGAGAAAGCCATGATGGGCTCTTGCTTCTTGGGGGCCGGGAAGTACATCCACACAAGCAATTGCAATTGATGAAGCAAGCGCACGCTATATATATATATATAGATATAGATAAAGGTCGAAAATGCTTAACTTAGAAGAGTAGGTTAAGTTGCATATGTATGTAGTGTGAACTTGGGGATTGGATGACTTCCTTAGCTTTGCTTGGACTCACAAGCTCGAGTAAAACTAAAACGTAAGTACATTTATTATATTCTTTTAGTTATTTGTGGATAATATTCTAGTAGAGTAGGTGCAAACACAGCAATAATTAATAATTATTGTTGGTTATTGGGGACATTGAAATTTGGAGGAGAAGTTATATGATGCGCGTATGAAGATATTGTCTTTAAAATGTTATTTGCCCTCATTCAATTCTACTGAGTTTGTTGTTGGGATATAGACAAGTCTATACACAGGATACAACAAAGCCTTGGGCGAGAATATGCAACCAGCAAAGTTGAAGAGTCTTCGAAGAAACATTCTATGAGACAGTAGCAGATCAGACTGAGAGTGACAAAAGTGATTTTCGAAACTTGTGTGTGCAAATGCTTGATTCACGCTCTTTAAATAATTTTTAAAGTCATGGAGTAGAAGAATGTGTTGGTTCAGAAAAGGCTCCTAATAGTTAATGACTGTTGATGAGGAAGGATTTGGCCCTCCAATGACATTATGACACTTGGCACCTCAGAACAACTAGGTGACACCCGGGACCACTTTGGCAACAACCTACCTTTGCTAAGTTGATAGTGTCCCACCAGGCGTAGCCTAGCACAAGCGTGGCCTGGCACAAGCGCGACCTGGTGGCCTGGCCCTGGTAGCTTGGCCCTGGCGCGACCTGGCCCTGGCACGAGCTGGCAGCCTGGCCCTGGCACAAGCTGGCAGCCTGGCCCTGGCACGAGCTGGCGGCTTGGCCCAGGCACCGACCTGGCGGCCTGACACAGGCGCCAACCTGACAACCCCGATGAGCTCACCACCGTACCCCGCATTTTACGGGATTGTGATTTGTAACGGCTATATTAGCTCACCCACTCCCTGAGTCAAGCGGAAATGGGCAACCTTACCAGTTGGTGGCTTTATCCCCACCTAACACGAAAGCAGGTCTCATCACAGCGGGAATCCAGGAACTGCTCCACCTAACCCACAAGGACTCCAGTATATAAAGACCTCACCCCCTAGGGGCGAAAGGAGGATGGGTAACCTCTGCTCTCTAGCTCTCTCATTCTCTAATATCATTCTCAGCTCTCCACTAAGTGCTAACTTAGGCATCGGAGTGACCTCATCGGGTTAGCCACCTTGGGTCCTCTGACATTTGGTTCCTTACAGGCCTCTAAAAGAGCAACCCTCAAGGTAGCTCACCACCAGGCAGCTCATCAAGGTAGCTCACCACCAAGCAGCTCATCAAGGTAGCTCACCTCCAAGCAACTCATCAAGGTAGCTCACCACCAGGCAGTTCGCCACTAGGTAGCTCACCACCAGGCAGTTCGGCACCAGGCAGTTCGCCACTAGGTAGCTCGCCACCAGGGAGCTCCACTTCAGCCTCTGAGTCATAGGCCTCTGGGGAGCTGACGAGGTACTTAGCCAAAAAATTGATACGTGACCAGAAACCGTTACATCAACTATTAACTTTGAATAGTTTTTCTTGATCACACCTGATCGAATCGTGGCCATTGAAAACACCAACGGTCAACCTCGCACCAAAAGTGAAAGTCGTCCCTTGCGAGCCACGTGAAGTGCGAGAAAAGTGCGTCTCTAAAGCATCTCATTGTACCGCACATGTACACATGCATTGTGCGTTAGCAAACCTCTATACTCTCCTCTTCATATCTAAGGAGTGTAAATAAGCTCCTATTTAAAAACACAAAACAAATTTTGTAATTTTCCAATGTGCCCCACATTAAAAATTGGTTTTAGTAAGAGAAAAAACTATTTTTCAAGACATGTGTGCAGGTGTTTTTTTCATGTAATTAATCAATCAAAGCCCATTGGACTTAATCTCTAATGAGATTAAAATCCAACAATTGTCAACTATCAATTAGTTTGCAGCAAAAAAGAAAAACATCAAGTATATTGATGAAGATCAAATGTCGCTATACAGGCTTGGAGACAATTTGAGATCAGTAAGGTACCTGCAAGAAAAAGGGAAGTCAAAGGGCCTAGGGTAAAACCCCGAGCTTGTAACTTGGACGAGCAAGTCAGTAGGAGGTTGTGCTATCTAAGGTGTGAAAGGTTGTGAAAGGTAGTAATAAATGAAGCCAAAAGTGTGTAATGAACGCTCAATTAACCTTTATATAGATTGGGGATGCTCGTGCCAAAAGAAACGCATCGGAGAAGTATTGGATACCTGGCGGTAGGCCAAGACACCTGAGCTATGAGACACATTCAAGTGGTTTATATGCGACGTTGTTTGTGCATGGGAAAACCACGTTGTTTGTGCATGGTGAAGCTTGGGTGTTTCTTCTGGTGCAGCTCGTCTTAGTGAACTGTGTTTTCTTACACATATAGTTCAGTTTGTAAGCTAAACTGCCCTTTACCCTTACTGGGATGATAGTTTAAGTGTTTAACTATCGCAGAGGCTCGGCTGCTCGAGGCAAGCTCTGTTAGTCTAAGGTGAGCACTCGTAGGTAGAGGCATGGGTGCCCTAGAGATGTCACATGTTTAGACTTTACTAGAGGTCACTTCTACCCAACTAATATCAATTTGGATGAATTGGACGAACCAAGAAGACATTGAATTAGATCAGTCCATACTTAATGGTCCAAAGTATTTATTGGATGTTTTATGTTTTCCTTGTCTAAACGTATAATAGGCATAAAGAGGATATATATATCCTTTACTCTCATTTTAGAAACTGCCCTCTTATAACTGTTGGAAAATTGTTCATAAATTATAAATAATTTTATCTCAAAAATATTGCCATATATAAATGCACACACACACATACATATACAAATGCACACACACCAACAATCCAAAGGATAGTAGTTAGATTTTGGCGAGTTCTGAAATAGGCGCATCCTCCGCCAGGCTCAATTGTTATTTTCTGTTTTTTTTTTATTTCATTTTATGAAACTACAAATTTTTGGGGTTGTGTGCGGATCAAAATCTATATTGTTAGAAGTTTTTGGTGTGTGCGTGTGTATCAAACAATCTATTTTCAATGGTAAAATATTGTAAATTTTACAGTTTCATACATTGGAGAATTGATTCAACCAAACGATCATAATTTTTCAATGCCTTTGAAAAACAGAAAAGCATTTTTCCTATTTTCTAGATTTGCAGTTGAACAATATAAGTAAATTTTATAGTTGAATTATCAAAAGCCACCTAATTGTTGACTGGGAGGAATTAATTAAGAAAACGAATGCAAATAGAATGGATGAAATTCACATGGGGGAATTATTCGAATCTCTTATGATAAGAATTAGATCCAATATCTAACAAATACATAAAACATAAATTTCAATTTGATTTGTTTATATATTTCAAATATTTTATTTGAATCTAATTAAATTACGGAGAAGTACGGATTTGCCCAATGCAAATTTCTGATTTTCACTGTAGAACTATAAACATTCAAAAGGTCAATAATCCACATTCTATGCACCAACGTCCATCCGTGAATTAGCATCAATTCTGAGCTGGCACTTACCCCGATAGTACTTTGAGCCTATAAATTCCAAATCTGGGCTGATCGGCCATTTTCCCATTAAATCAAGGTTCAAAATATTGATACACCCGATACACAGGTATGGGCGTATCGAGCAAATCGATACAATGTTTCAAGCCTTTTTTTTTTTTTTTTTTGCAACCGGTTCAGGGGGACCAGTTTAGGTCTCCTCTACCCCCTGAACCGGTCAGACCTCCGATACACCCACTATAGGGGCATATTGGAGGGGTCCCGGAACAATACATATCGACCGATACAAGCTGATACATGTCGATACTTTGAACCTTGCATTAAATTATTGATAAATCTACATAAAAATCAGCATAAATTTATAAAATAAAATAAAATAAAATAATAAGTTTTTCTAAATCTCAAATCTAACGTGATTCTAAAGAGGCAAGTAATATTTGAATTTAATCCAATTATGATTAATTGGATATTTCAGTCCACTTGTTAGTCAAAAAGAAAATATTTAAAAATAATAATAATAATGATTTGGATTCAAATTTGGCCTATACTCACTAGGTTAAGTCAGGGCTTTCTCTAAGTCTCTCCATTTCTCAAATCTCAAATAATAATTGGGGTGCCACGGTCAAACTGTGAACTTATTTTTTAAACCGAATCGATACTATTGGTTTTTGGAAAACTGGTAATCGAAACCAAATCGATGGCAATCGATTAATTGGTTCGATTAACCATCGATTTGATTTGTTGATTTGTTGATTTTTTGGTTTTTTATATGTATACTATATATTATAACTAAATATATAATAAAAACTAGAAATGCATATAACATATTATATTTTAAATAATAAATAATATATTATATATGATACATATTTATTAATTTATAATATATGGATAATATAAAATATATTAAAAATATATATAATATACATATAATATATAGAAATATATGTATGCCAGTCGGTTACGTTAATGGCCATTTTTCTTTTTATATTGATTAATCGAAACTGAACTGACATTTTCGGTTTTTTTTAAATACTGAACCGAAACCGAACCAACCGATTCATATAACCGAAATTTTGGGTTCGGTTTCATCGGTTCGGTATGGTTTTTTGGTTTTATTGCTCACCCCGAAATGAACCAAACTTCAACCGGACTCATCGCAAGCTCAGACGTCAGACCTCAGTACTCGGTAGAATTGGATAGTGTTTCAATTCTCACGGTTTTCATGTGCTCTCCTTCATGGGCGGTGGCCCTTGAATAAAGGAGCACTCCTACAGTTCTACCTACTCAAAGCTTTTTCCCCAAAACTGTCGTAGCTGAGTTAGGGTTTCAGTTCCTTGAACTGTCGAAGCGGGTTTTCTATGGTTTAAAAGACATAGAAAGAGGACTTACAAGTGTTTTCTAGCGTTCGATTCAGCTGTAGAGAAAAATGAAGAAGCTGAGATGGACAATGGACGACGGCTTCGGGGACCTGGACATGTCGACCTCGATTACGATTGACGGAATCGCACGACCAGTCCCTGGAGACTCACTCCCCTTGGGTTTATCTAGAGGAACCAAGCTATCAAGGCCTAAGCAGATCGATTTCATGCAGAGGTTCATGTCAGCCTTCTTCCTTCCTTCTTACGCTGACCATCCTGCTCGAGTTGGTGATGGGCTCGCTCTGCAACGCGTTCTCACCTTCCCATTTGGCGAAAACTGGTAATTATTCTGTATTTTAATAAAACAAACCCCACATCTTAGCTCGTGGCAAGGTCTTTCTTTTGATAACAATGGGCAGGATTCATATATTACCATTCTGTTCTAAGTTATAGCTAACTTTTTCGATGAAGGTAAAGTAGGTGGGATTGGTTAATGGGGCTTTTATAAGGACTAGTTTTGGATTAGTTATCTTCGAACTTATTTCTTTTGTCATCCTCAACTTTGAAGAATTCCCGAATTTTATATCTCTACTGTAACGTAGTTTTCATCTTTGATGAAAATTTGATGGTTAGTTGGTTAATGACTTCTAAACTGCGATCAATTTGCTTCACTTGCCTGTTGGCCAAAACAAGTAAGCATTCAAATTTTTTTAAGAAGGTAATGGTGTAATTGATTGTATTATGGGAAGAAAAAAACTCAATTATAGGTATTAAGTAGCCTGAACAAATCTTATTCTAGTAAGGTTGTTAAACTTAAAACATGTTACACCTTGAAAAATAAGTAAAGTAAATATATAAATGACAAAGTAAATAACTAGGTTTCAGTTGAACTGATCCAAATCTCCTGAATCATATCAATGATAAGATTCATGAATTGCATCATAAGATTCAAACAGTAACTGTAGGATATTTTCAGAAACGAATTCATATGTAATATTTAAATTGAAACCCTTGAGTTCAAGATTAAATTGTGAGTAGTTTGGCAATATTGGCAATGCACTCTTAATATACATGTGTACCATGTATAAATCAGTATGCCTTTGTAACTTATATTGTCTGTCTTTGGTGAACCAGTCTGACTATTACCATTAGGCTGCATCTGTTTCTCCATAAAATTGGGTGTAAATTTTTTTCTATAAAGGGGGTGGAAATAAGAACTGATTATTTCAATTGAAAATATTTAAATCTCTTTTACAGAGAAACAGCGTATCACTTTTTTTCCTTTCCAATTGTAACATTGCTATTTGTGCTCAATGGTACTGGCCTGCTGATGCTTACTAATAATTGACTTTAAAGCCATGCAGGATTGCCACTTTCCTAGGCCAATTCAATTTGCAGAAATTAGCATCTTCTTTGAAAGACAAGGGATCAAGAGAGCCCCCAGAATCCTCATGGTTAAAAAACCTTGGCAAGCACCTTTGTGATAAATCAATGTATGCCTTTGGTTTCTGCTCAGAATTCTTGATCACACCAAATGACACATTGCTCGTGAGCTCAGAAGCATGTGGTGATAAGAAGCGGTATCGGAAGAAAGCAGTTTTAGATCACAAGGCAAGGACTTATTGGCTTTAAGGTTGATGTGGCACTAAGTAATTATATTTTTTATCTTTTAATTTTTGTTTGCAGTGCAAATCTTAAACAAATGCACATATTTTCCCTGGTTCGGTTTTGCATCCATTTGTTTGCATGCATATCTGATACAAAAATTGTACTTATTGTCTCATTATTGGAAGTGCAAATTTTGCATCTCAAAAACTGATGGAAAATCTGTACCACCTTCTTGCTACCTCAGTTCTCTCTCATGTAAAGTAGATAGCACATCATCTTGCTTCCTACCTCACTCCCAAATAAATAACCTTCCTCCTATCTCTATTCTCCTCCATATAAGGTGGTGACTGCATCATTTTACTTCCTCAATTAGTTCTCACAAACAAATAAAAATAGAGTCAAATATGAAGCAAAAGTAAACCAGAATTTACACTCTGCCTATTTGCACTCACATGCATTTACACCTAGCAAAAGAAATTTGCATTGCAAACAAACTGAGCCTTAATGGATCTTTGCTTTTCTTGTTAATTCAATGCCATAGTAGCTGTTACTGCTGTTCTCTTCCATGTCTTATTTCTTTTCTTCATCTAGCTATTACGCCAAAGGGCCATTGGTTGGTCCAATGGTTAAATCTTGGATTGACAAGTGTGAGGATGAGGCTTTGGGTTTGAGTGTGGCTATTGCCTATTTGTTCAAAAAAAAGGATAAATACCAAAAAGTTGGTCTGTATCCAGTCTATCCCTACCAAGACCCCAATTAACATGGACCATCATTGGGTAATGTCCCTTTATTTATCTGTAATGTCAATTGTACTTCATGTTTTGGTATCTTAGGATGTTTTTGGATCAAGTAGTAGAAATGGAAACAGACATTTATTGATTTCCATAACCTGCTGAAGGTTTCCAAGATGACTTGAACACCATATCCAAACGTTTTTTTTTTAAGAAAAAGAAACCCTCTGGAATTGGTGGAGTCTGTCCCCCCTTATAATCATTTCTAGGTTTCACCTCAAAAATCTGCCAATTCGATCAACTTTGTTGTTCTGTACTGAAGATTTCTCATATATCTGCAAAACCTGCCTCTTTTCCCACATTTTGAAATGTATCTTCACTAGGATTTTGTTCTTTACATGTCTGCAGTTTCCACAACACAATTTAACTGTAGAGGCAACATCACCAGGACTTTTTGTTGACAAGGTTGGTACTTACTGGGATGTTCCATTGTTGATAACAGCTGATCTGGCTTCTGTTCCTTCTGATTCTGGTTTCAATGATCATTTTTGCATACATTATATTAGTGGGGCTGCTAAGCAGTTTAATAGTGATCAAACTGGTCCAATACCTCCATCTCTACTGCCTGGGTTGTATGTCAAATCCGCGTTTTCCATAAAAAAGAATGTTGACATTTGGAGAAGAAAATCAGGCAAATTGAAAATGGTACAACCATTTGACATTTTCCTGTCAGATCCACATATTTCAGCATCAGCCACTGTTGGTAAGTTACAGCAACTGCACTCCTTGAAATTTAGTTTTGGGTTTCCACATGTTTAAGTAATAGCTATATTTGTTTGTGCATTCCAAAAACCACCTTTAGAGGAAGGCTTAAATCAGACGGAATGATGAGAAACTCAACTTCTTATCTGTGCCAATCTAATGGATCTGGTGCAGCATCTCAGGACCCGGCAATCCAGCATTATGGAGTCCAAATGATAGAGACCACTTAGGCCAAGAAGGGTTTTCTTTTTTTTCTTCTTCCCAAATTGAATGATCCCAAATTTCATGCATGAGTATTTATATCTAGCTAGGACATTGAATGGTGGTCTTGATCTCCATGTATACCACACATCCTATCCTGAATCACATATTCTTGCTAGATGTGGTGTTTGTTCACCCTATATCTGCTGAGTAATGTTGCCTTTTTTATTCTTTTCGTTTCTTTTTTTTTTCCGATGAGTGCTACCTGATAAATAATGTAATAAATTGGGATCTGATTCTAACTCGAAGATGCTACTTTTTAGTATTATACTTTGAACTTGGTTAACTATGGTATACATAATCGTTAATCTGAACTTCAATGGCTCAATGATTTACTACCATCTTTACACACTTAGAAACCTTGATTTGACATGATACAGGTACTGTAGCTACTGCATCCTTCAGAGATAATTCAGTGAGATTAAAGAGGGAAGACGAGTTGCAGGGTTATGGGCGCTTCGATGTAAATTTTCCAGGGAAAAAATGTGCCTTTTTGGCAGATTTATTTGCATCTGTTTCTTGCACAGCTCAGCATGGAAACTTTCAAAGGCTTTTCCTGGATCTTAGCCAATTGCATGCTCGTTTGGATTTTCCTTCAGGTTCAAAGTTTCTATCTGGGGCCGCACGTCTGGTACAAGATCTTAACAATTCTCAACCACCTGATTTGGCTGCTCTTCATGCAATTTGCCCAAATGTTACTCTTTCACTTCAGCAACAGGTACCTCATTTTGGTTCCTGGCCTCCTTAATCTATCTATCCTTGGAAAACCTTGTCACTGGACTTGGTGCAATTTAGCATAATGTCCTAACAGACATGCAGCACAACTACTGCTACTGCATGTATGTGAAAAGAGTGAAAAAAAAAATCTCTTTTGTTGTGCAAAAGAAGCAAAAAGATCTCACTGCTTCATATCATAAGCGTGATTTGTGAAAAGATGAAAACGAGAATGTGAACATTGGGAGTGATGCACAACATTGCTCGGTAACTACCTGTTTTAGGAACAACACTTTGTTGGCCTGTCTGGTTCACTTTCTTGGATAAAATGGCCTGCGTTGCAGGGTATTTGGGGGGATTTGAGTTTACATTCATTTAGCTATTTGTGATTCCCATTTAATTACCTAATTGGTTACTCTCATCTGGACATTTATTGAGTGCTAATGGTGGGCAAGTTGCTCTTGGGAGTAAGGCAATCTTTCCATTTATTTTGATCTTCTCTGCTATGGCACAGGAATAATGTCTTAGTGGTTGGCTACCTTATAAATGTCAATTAGAACTATTTCTTGAAGCCTTGGCACTTCCATCCTCCACTTTCTTGACAATTGAGTGAGACTTGATTGGATGATAGGCATTTACCCAGTGAAGATGTATATATGCTGGGCAGGGCCAAATGTCTGTTTTTTTCTTTCTTTTCTTTTTTTTTTTTTTTTGTTGACCGACCATAGATGATATCAATCAGTTGTTCTCCATATGTATGCTGTCAGTATTTTCATTCTATTTACAACGAGGTTGAATTTGCCTATTCAGTTTTTGATAAGCAGTAAAGCATCTATGTATTTATTTGATGCAGATTGTTGGACCTTTCAGTTTCCGAATTGATTCAAGAGTTTCATTCGACTTCAACAGCAGAGGGTGGCATACCCATGTTGATGAATCAATGTTTGCCATTGAGTATGCATTGCAAGTTCTTGGCTCGGCAAAGGCGATTGCTTGGTATTCCACGAAGCATCGTGAAGCCATGGTGGAGCTTCGTTTCTTTGAGACCTAAGCATCACACCATTTACTTGGAAACGACCTTATTTTTTTTGGACTGTGGACTATATTGGTTTTTTAATCAGTGGCTATATATGCATATTAAGTTTTCAATTCTTTTTCAATGCATGGTTTATTCATGGCATGGACATGCATTAAACAGAAGTACTTTTTAAAATTCAAAACATGTGGAGTTTGTTTCCTTGTGGGATGCATTATGGGGAAAGAAATGATTTACTAGTTGAGATTCATCACCAGATGCCACACAAAAAGTGTGTTTTGCCAAGGTTTTTCATGCTTTCCAGGGAGCGGGAGCGGGGTCGACACCCTAGTCCCTACACTACCTACTAGCTGAAGAGTGAAGAGGGGCAAACATCTTGGAACGTGAACTTGTCGACAATGTTTGGTCTTGGTGGGTTGTGCTGAGAACATGCCATAAGGAGGTCGGAGGCTTGGTGATTGGTACCAGTCCAATGTCCCTCAGGAGTTGAGGACCTTAAAGTGCTAGCGAGGCTGAGTAGGCCCTCGAGAATCGAGACTAGGTCACAGGGCCAGGCATTATCTGGCTCCCTTGGAGCTGGAGCTGCTGTATTATGGTTCATTCATGGGAACTCCCCATGAATGATATCTCTGCTATGTACGCAGTAAATTGAACGCTCAACTCAACAAAAATCTCTGTAGTTGCTTTCTCTTTTCGGCTTTGTTTGGTTTGAAGGAAAAAAAAGTAGGGAAAGGAAAGGAACCTTCAAACCAAAAATAGTCTTGGAAACAAACAATATCCCAGAAAATATTGCATGCGTTTCCAAATTTTTGATGGATAGGGAGCCGAAGAGCCGTTTCTTGCCTCCCCAACAAAAACCCACCTCTCAAATCTTTCTCAAATCACTCAAAAACAAAGGCATCTTCGAAGAAATCGAAGACTCATTTGGAGATACCCCCTCAACGTCCTCACTCCGCCTTCAGAACCTTCAACCGAGTCCACACCACGTCACCACCACATGCCCGTAATAAGAAAGGCCGGTCTCCACCGGTCCAAGACGGCCCCGGCCATGTTAGGCAGTTATGCGGGACCTCAAACAAAACCAGAACGAGGTTCACAAACCTCTACTTCAATCGTGAAAGCTTCTCCGGCATCGAGACGCACTCTGTCGTTGATGCACTCTACTTCTGAATCGTCACCATGTGCACTATCGGCTTTGGCGACATCATCACTCCACTGACCCCGGCAACTAAGGTGCTAGCTTGTGGATTTGTACTAGTAGGGTTCGGCTTCATAGATATACTGCTTGCTGGGGCTGTGAATTATGTGCTGGACTTACAGGAAACCATGATCTTAACCAGCATTCAAGTCAGTGTAAGCTATGGACATGGAAGGTTCTCTGCCAAGGACTACATTTTTGATGTGGAGAAAGGAAGGATGAGGATCAGGATGAAGGTGGGCCTTGCACTTGGGGTGGCTGTGCTGTGTATTGGCACGGGTTCTATGGTTTTGTGCTTTGTGGAGAGGTTGGACTGCGTTGATTCTGTTTACTTGGTGGGTATGTCAGTTACGACAGTTGGATATGGGGAAGACTTTGCCCGGGAGCCGGGAGGTTGTTTGCTTCGGCTTGGCTTCTGTTATTGATGCTGGCGGTGGCTCGGGCATTTCTGTATTTGGCTGAGGCAAGGATTGATAAGAGGCACAACACAATTGCGAAGTGGGTTTTGCATAGAGACATTACTGTTGAAGATTTGCTTGCTGCCAATTTGAATAACAATGGGTTCATCAGGTTGGGTGTTCTGTTGTCCTTTTTCTTTCATTTGTTCCACCAACTGTTTCCTGCTTATTTTGTGTTGTTGGGTGGAATTTAAGATTCTTATAGCATAGTAATTTAACTTAGAATTCTTTCAGATCCTATGAACTGAGAACAAATTATTGGTCTACATAATAGATCTGGGATATCTGTTTCTACTGAGAATTTTGTTCTATGATAATTTTGTGAAACAGGAAATATAAGTTGAACTAGCTAAGGCTTTGAACTGTTATTACATTCTTTCATACAATGTTTTGAAAATCGTAACCGTATCGTAAATCGTAGAGAAAGTTGAATCGAATCGTAAGATTATTTCTATTTTTTACAAACATGTCAAAAAATAAAATATAGATATGCTAAAAGGTTAAACATATATAGGAAAGTGACTTTACTCTGTTTTTAATCTATATCTACCATATATGTACTTAAAACAATAGAATTTAACACTCATACAATAGAAGCCTAAGATGATATAATGAAGTTGGACTTGAAAATCAAACAAATATACATACAATGGCTCTTTAACCTACATATATGGAAAATAAACTCAACTTCTTGTCTTAAATAACATAAATAAATAGTTTTCTAGTAAGGGCTTTAAAAAAGTCTCCCTTGACAAAACTAAATATAAACAAACAAAAAAAAAGCCAAAGTAGAGAACTAATTCTTAATCAAGTCTATTGAATCTTAGTGAATCATAGAAATCGTAAGATTTATGAATCAAATCGTAGGATTTTGCAGAAAATGATTCAGACATAAGATTCGAATCAAAACCCTTGGGATTCATGATTCAAACTGTGTATCATATTGTAAATCGCAAGATTTTGACAACATTGCTTGCATATTGTTTAGTCTCGGTCTTGTTGAGGCCAGTTTTTAGTGTTATTACCTTCTAGTTTAAAAAAGGCTACTGGCTTTTTTTGTGGAAAGGTTAATGGTAGTTCTAGATTTTTTGCAGTTAAGAGGAAACAACAATCTTCTTTTTTAACAGCAAGTAAATTGCTGCATAGTGTTGTTTTTTTTTTTTTTTTTTTTTGACAGGTATGGCATTGTATATACTTTTGATCATGTGTCTGTGCGTATATCTATTTCTTCCTTTGTCTATGTATAAATCACTCGTGTCCTTTTACCCGTTTCTCTTTTGGTGTGTCCTTGTTTTGACTCTGATAGTGGTTTCATATGAATTTTGTTACTCATGGGATTTTGATAATAGAACCCCATTTTATTACCAATTGAAAACACTAAATTTCCAAGTCCAAGAAACCATTTGACCATACGGATATTCTTTGATTGTCTTGGAGATGTAATGAAAGAGGCAACCATTTATTTTGTAGTATCAAAATGATTCTCATTTTTTGGGCACGAACCACCCTTCATAGCAGTTCACTAGCAATTTGATTGTGATAGAATTTTCCTCAAGTTGTAGGTGATTCTTGAAACAGCCTCTCTGTATGTACAGAGGTAAGGCTGTGTGTTTTTATCCCTCCCCAGATCCCATATTGACGGGAGCCTCATGCACTGGGCTGCCCTTTTTTGTAAGTGATTCGCCTGAGCAATCTGGATTTTCTGGGGTCCCTAGACTCCAAGTTTCCTATGTCATAGTAAGACCAAGCCATCTTAGTTTAATGTAAGTTGGCACAACTGATTGCTGAGCTGAAGTTGTATGAGCTAGTGTTGATGACATCAATTCAAATATTGTGTTGGGTGCTTCCTTCTGTCTCTATGTAGAATATGCCCTTTAATTTTCCCACCAGTACTGTACTTGCATTTTAGGCTCAGTTTGGAAGGAGTACAAATACAAATATGTACTGTGCAAATACATACAAAAGACAAGGTTTTGCACTCTACATATTTGTATTTGTACTCCTTCCAAACTAAGCATTAGGACCAACAACTTTGGTCTGGAGAACAAATTATTTTGCATTTAATCACGCCTGGACTATACTGTTGAAAAGTAGGAAACTGAAGAAGCCCCAAGTCTCATACATTATCATAACAAAGCCCTAGGACTAGACTAACTGTGATCCATCTCATTTAACCACTGGTTAGGTTTCGGATGGGTCTTGCCAGATGTATTTAAAACATGTATACAATGTAATTAGGAAATATAGAAGCATAAAACCCTGTAAATCATTACATCTTCCATATCATCCACCAAAATGACAGATAATTTACCTCATCATCATCATCATGTTCTTTGCTGTTTTCAACATGGAATGAAAGGAAACCATCCTCCACTAATTAAGAAAGTTATAACAGATAAGTACCAATCATCATGATCTTTTGACCTGGCAATTTATTTTCATGTCACTATAATCATCATACAACTGAATTTCTTGCTTTCTTTTGATACGAACTTAGTTAGCATTTAAGTATAAAAACTTTAAAAAAAAAACGCTATTCATAAAGGCAATTACCCAGTGTTGGTCCATCTACCTGCGGTCTTGGGAGGGGTATACTGGATATGGACCTGATCTTTGGCATGACACCAAGCAATTGCCCTGAAAAGAAAAGGTTCTTCCAGGCATAAATTTATCATGTTAATATTAGAATAAATTGCTAATGATGAGATTTTGCTTAGGATGTGGTTTTGTTTGGCCTACTCTGGGGTGGATCCAAGCAGTCTCCCATGTATTAATGAAACTGGGTATTTTCTAACTGGATCTGTTTGAAGGAGAAATATAGCCGCATCCATTCTTTTCAACTGGACGGTACCAAATTAATAAATGGGGAAGCTTATAAAAAATACAGTTGAATAACGTCTACATGCATGTTTCTGATATGGAAATCCATGTGTATCTGTAATTTCACAAAAGAAATGGCATTGGATCATCTAGATGGTGGAGCAACAACACAGCACATATGCAGGGGTGCATTGATACAGTATAAATATTACCTAGAAGAGATTTTAGGTAAAAATATTGTGAATTGGATAGTTTCTTAGTAATTTTGTACTTTTGGTTTGTTCTAAGACCGCATAACTATTTATTTTCCTGGATAGAAATGTATGCTTATTGTTTGGTTGGAATATCCTGACTGTTTAGTTTTCCTTCTATGCTTCTATGAACTCCCTATTAGCACACAAAGGATAATGGAGCCATGTCTACTGTAGAACTAGTGGTTCATCATTCATGCAATTTTTGCTCTATTTGTTTCTGCTTTAAGCATAGATTTTGAAAACTTTTACAATCTAAAAGTAAAATTTATTGTGTTGTTATTTAATAATTACCTTTTTTTATTAATCCTGTTGAAGAGGCCTTAAAGTTCCATTTTTTCCCAGTAAGTCAGAGTATGTTTGTTGTATACAAGCTTAAGGAGATGAGAAAATTTGGTGAAAAAGATATACTGCAGATCTGCAATCAGTTCAAGAAGATTGACCCCAACAACACTGGGAAGATAACACTGCCTGATCTATTGGAGAGACTTGGGTGATGGGGAGGTAGAAGAAGCAGGATTCTTTGTTTATATGGAAGAGAGGGGAATGGGGAAGAAAGATGTCTGGGTTTTAGGCCCATAAGTTGTAGCTGGAAATTACCAAAATATGTCAAGGAAGGATGTATATAAACATCTGATTGAAATTTTTTAGGAGCAAAGTGGCTTCTCATTGTATTAAACCAAGCTTTTGCCAAGGGAATGACTCAAATGTGTGATGCCCTTTATGTTATTGTAGTGATCTCCAAAGAGAAACATTTGAAGATTGGGTTGATTCTCTTATTTCAGTCTTTCTGCTTGATTACGGGAGTATTTATATTCTGAGGCTGGGTGTTAGAATACTTACCATGATGCCAGGCCAAGGCGGAGCTTAGACATCACCATGAAGAATCAAACTAATTTGTCATACTTAAGTTTGCCGATATTATGCAGGTCTCTTATATATAAGTTGGAATAACATGAGCATAAAATTGTAATACAATTTGTAGATCTCATCTCTAGTCTCTACACAGAGCACAGCCAAATCAGGGATAATTAGTCCGCCCATGCATACAAAATTACCATTTCACAATAATAGCTTGTGATAGAATTGCAAGTCGTCAAAACCCATGTTTTAATTTGTAGTTCATTCGGAGGTCATCAAATTTCTAAATTTGGTCGGGGAGGGAATTAAACCTCATATAAACCGTTACCTAGAAATAGTATATGGCATAAATTGGATAGAAGTAGAATCTCTGTATGCATTTTTTTTTTTTTTGTTTGTTTGAATGAATGAATTTCTGAGGCTACAAAGGCCAAATTTCATTGCACCAAAGAATCTCGGTTTACAGGAGATGATAAGAGGGACAATACACAAAGGGGTATGAGGGTATCACCCACCCAAGAAGAAGAATGGAAATCATTAGTGGTTACAGCAAATCTAGCGAGTGAGTGAGTGAGCAAACGAGTTACAGCTCCTGTGAGAGTGTAAAAGTAAAACCGAGATTGAGTTGAAATGAAGGTGCAATCGGCCACGTATAAGAAGCAATATTGTGCCAAGGAGGAGAGGAGTTGACAGAACCTCTATATGCATTGATATCAAAATGGGGCCCACGCCCAACATTGAAATTTCGTCTCCTTAAGACTCAAGAGCATTAATACATACTCAGTGTGGTGGAGGTCAGGAGGTGGGCTAACTTAGAAAAAAATAGAAGTAAAAGTTTTAGTAATAAAGGAATTAATGTACAGTGTCTTAGTTTTAAATGATAAACTATTGATTTTGTTGAGAAAGAAGAACAAGGCAATTTCTTTAATCAAATTAGTAACTTAGAAAGTAAAAGGAGTAGAGTCAAAAGGATGGGCATATAAGCATATTTAAAAAACAGAGAGGGGACACTGTGGAATGACAACGTCTTCGTTTCTGCAATCCAAATCAGCGACAGTCATCATCATCCTCTTAAGAAACTTGCTCCATGGTTTCATGTCATGTAGCTTCTTGCTTTTCTTGGTCGTTTACAGTTCATCTCTCTAATTGATTCATTATTATAGACTTGCAAACTCATTCCCATACGTTATTGTAGAGGAAGGGTGATAAGTTCTGTGGGCTTCCAAACTGAAACCTAACCTGTTGGCTGTTGCGTGAAGAGAGATCAGGGGGGAGTTGAGATGGGAACATGGACTCTGGAGTCGTCTTCTCTGACTCTGAATGATTGGACTTGCAAACCCATTCCATTCCCATTAGTTATTATGGAAAGGGAGGGTTAAGGGTGGTATGTAGCATGCATGATGCATGTACACATCATATTATGTACAGAGTCAGGAAAAAATGTTTAAAAATGGGGTGAAATAGAGAACCTCCCACTAGCCACTCCCAGACGGCATTTTTTTTTTTTTTTTTTTTTGGGGGGGGAGGGTGTCATGTGAAGGAATCCTGTGGCTGATCCATACCACCCATCAGATATTGGACCCACTACTAGATCAGCCATTCCTTCACTACTACTAGTACTCCCCCACTCCACATAAGCCCAATGCCTTGCCTTTTTCCATTATGATCCAAGATGCCTATTTGGGATTGAGCCTCTACAATATGTGAAGGCTGCTGGTTGTGGTTTCCTTCAAGAGACAAGACCCTGACATCCATGCCATTTATTTATAGCTGCAATGTCATAAGCATCCAATATCGGGCCGGGTTCTTGCAAACTGGCCGCAGATTAGATCTGTAGGCATTTAAATTATAATTATATATAAGAGTTATTCTCTCTGCTCTGCATAGATTTGTGGGGTCAGTCAGGTTTTATGTCTCTCCTCCTCCTCCTCCTTCTAAGCTATCTTCTTGAATGTTTTTTTGTGACCCTATATATAATTTCTTTCTATATAGATCTGAGGGGTAGGTTTTATGTCCCCCTTCTAGGGTATTTCTTTGATCATTAATAAACTTTTCTTTTCTTTAAAAAGAGAGAGAATGAAATCTTAGTAAAATTTCCCTACGTGGAAAAAACATTACCTAATTGGGTTTAATCCTACCTATTTCTACGGTTCTGCCATGTAGATGGATCCCATAGTCCATAGTAAACCTAAACCAACCAACAACCATGAAAAAGGGGACCCACTGGATAAGTAACATGTTCCAGTAAGCTTCCCTAAATGACCAGGACAGACTTTCCCGTGTGGCAATTTAGTTGTTTAGTTGGGATTCCAATTGTGTCTTAAATGGCTTCTAATCAATTAATCATGGGTAAAATTTCATCCCTAAAGCTTTGCCAGATTTTGTTAAAGGTCATTCCAGAAACTGTTTACCCAAAAAGAAAAGCCAGAAACCATTGATGAGACACTGATTATAGACTGCGAAGTGTGACCCAACTCCCAAATGAAAACTGGACTCGTCTCTTTTTCCTTGCTGGTTGAGCACATCCAAAAACAAAATTTCAATTAATCACAGTTATTGACTTTTGTACTCTCATTATTCTCTAGTACAAATATATAGAGATTAGACTCATCATCCACCAATTCAAATAAATTGTCAATTGATGTTCTAATTAATTTTTTACTTATTTACTTTTTGTTCAGTCATTGTCCACTTGTGGTTGGGGTGGGCAAGCTGGGCCAGCAATTATTTGCCTCCCCCAGGAAGTCACCCACTATGGTATACTAACATACCGTGCTTGCCTTGTCAAGCGGTGAAGCCCCTCTAAGCTACCAAATGCTAACATCCAAACAAAACATATTGAGTTGAGGCCCTTAGCTGCTTACTCCAGTTGTGTTCTCCTTGAATTAATTCGATTTGGATGTCCAATCACACCCCTTCAGTTTTGAATTTTGATACCATCATGTTTTAATTTAATGCGGCTTGATATCTTACTACCTGAATTGATAAATCCATGACACCACACAACAGAACTAATAAGGTCAAGTAACCAACCAGTCCCATCATGCATGCATGCATGCATCAATCCATGGCAAACTAATAGGATAAAGAGAACAAAGAGTGTGAAAGGCCATAGCCCATGGGCCGACCCACGTATTTAATATAAAATCAATAAAAAATTTATATATATAAAGAAAATGGAGAAATAGGAGACTTGGCGTACAAAATAATAGAAGGGAAACCAGAAAGGCTGTTGAGTGTGGCGTAAGCCTTATTGTTTAGTACGAAAAGCAAATATTCTATCCACTCACCGACACAACTTAATATTCAATCCCACCGCAATATATATTCACAATTTTTTTTTTGTTGTCAATACAATATCTAATTTAATAGATGATCCTTTTCAGCATCTCTCTTTTTTCACAAGTTCACATCCATCACAACTTTTATTTGCATAAAGAAAATCGTATCAGATAAATTAATTGAAGATCAAAGTTCTACAGACTACAGTCAAGAGTCAAACACACTAACTACCCACCATGCAACTTAAATAACCTCACAAGTTATAATCTCTTCTCTTCTGTTTAATAGAAATAATTAAATAAATTTTCTTTTTTCCATGGTTATTTATCTTTCTAATTAAAGAAGAGTTTTGGATTTGCGTTCATTATAGAAAGAAATTTATAGATAATTTATTAATGAACAATGCACATGGTTTTGGTCTAAAGAAACATTCAATATAGTTATGGTTCTGATGTCATTCAGTTTTAATTTGCTCCCTCTGATTGTTTTGGTTCACCTAATAGATTTAGAAATGCATTCGGATTCCTTGATTGCTAATTGACCTTCCTAGAAAAATAATAAGATATTAACTTTTTGCAACGACAAAGAAATCAACTGAGGTAGGTATCTAGGATGAGCAAACTGCAAACCCATGGATGGATTCAAGATTTTGAGAAAATTTCTCAAGCAATCAAAGAGGTTTCAAATCCGGACTGCACCAGTTCACTCAGGATACCTTTACCTTGTATTATGAGTTACGAGGGGCAATTCCAATTTCCAAGCCCAAAAGATAGAGAAACCTCCACTTGTTAATGCGCTTCAACCTGTGACTGTGAATGCTTAGACCCGTGACTACTTCTCTGTTACTACTTACTACTGTTGGAGAAGGTTTGCAAAAGGTCCACCGCAACAACTCTGAGACCGCATGTGGGATACAGTGAGTGAACCAACTACAGTGGGCCAAGCTTGTCAAATCCATATAGAGGTCAAACCATCAAACACCCAAGTAACTTTCCATTGAAGATAAAATTGTGGCTTGTGGGGGTATTTTCTTCTGATTTTAATAAAGTTACGGAACAGATTCTCTTGGAGAGAGAGAGAGAAAGAGAGACCACAGTCTACGGACCATAAAATTAAAGGTTGAAAAATGACGAATGCTTAAAATCCCTTTTCTATTTATTCTTCACCCATCGTTTTAGTAGAAGGAGCAAAAGGCCCAACATCACCTCCACCCTGTGATTGCTTCCCCCCTCCCCTACTCTGTTTCTCAACCAGGCTTCCATGAAAACAAAAATGGATAATCGGATATTGATTTTATTTTGCACGCTGAATGTATTCTTTTCTGCATTTTCTTATGCCTTGAAACAGCAATACATCTCAGCAGTGGGAGACCCAGGAATGCAAAGAGATGAACTAAGAATAGCTTTTGAAGGTTGGAACTTCTGCAATGAGATTGGTAAAGAAGCTCCTGGTATGGGGAGCCCAAGAGCTGCTGATTGTTTTGATCTCTCAGGTAAGCCTTAGCATTCAAGGAGATAGAGAAGGAAGAATAATGATTTTCTTTGTTTTCTTGATCTCCCCTCTTTCAGAAATTACTTTTTCTTTTCATTCTCTCTCTCTCTCTCTCTCTCTCTTTATCTTCTATCAGAACTGCATTTCTTTTCTCATAAATCATCACAAACCCACAATGAGAATATGGGTAATCCTCTTTCATCAAAATTGCATGTACCAATTTTTTAAAAATAATACACCACTCTGATTTCAGTTATTTTATTGTTCCTTTTCTGTGCTGGGCAGGCTCTTCATTGAAGCACAGAGTGACGGAAGCAGATAACAATCTTGGTGTTGGAACACCATTTCCAGGATTGAATCCAAAAGCTCTAAAAAACCCAGACCTTTATGCAGTAGAGAAGGAGCTATATCTGGGCTCTTTATGTGAAGTTGCAGACACCCCAAATCCATGGCAGTTTTGGATGGTGATGCTGAAAAATGGCAACTACGATACCATGTCTGGTTTATGTCCTGAGAATGGGAAAAAGGTAGGGCCTTTTAAACCAGGAAGGTTCCCGTGCTTTGGAGATGGATGCATGAATCAACCCATCTTCTATCATCAACCGACAGATTTCACAGGAACAGGAACATTGAGAGGCAGTTATAATGGAACTTATGAACTGGGCTCTAATTTCACAGACGGGATCGATAATATCTCATTTTATGAGGTTGTGTGGGAGAAGAAAGTTGGAATTGGGAGCTGGGTTTTCAGTCACAAGCTGAAAACATCAAAGAAATATCCATGGCTGATGCTGTATCTCAGAGCTGATGCAAGCAAAGGCTTCTCTGGCGGATACCATTATGACACTAGAGGAATGCTGAAAACCGTAAGTAGGATCCCTTCCTTCCCTCCTATATTTAATGACAGTTTATTCAAGAGATGCTTATTTTCAATCATAAGTCTTAACCTTCTTATTATTTTTTTTTATTATCTCCTTCTTGAAGTAAATAATTATTGGGGTTTTATCTAAAAATCCTCCACTATTCTTTTAAACTTACGGTGCCATTTACATAAATCCAAGAACTCCATCGTCAGACATTTTAAGTTGAAAGACCATAATGCCCCCTCGTGTATCTCCCTCTACTCTTTCTTTACCCAGAAACAGAATCTTTCATTGGATCCAGTGGCAAACACCAAAGCATAAAACCTATCTCATCAAAATATCTAACAAACAAATGAGAAGTAAATCATTGATGGGTTGTGAAATGAAGAAAAATATATAATAAAATAAGGGAGAAAATGAACCAGGGCATTTTTATCATACAAAAATTAGTCAAATAACATTTATTGATGAATCAAAATTAATTTTATCAATAAATAAATATTAATGGTGTATGTGAACCATTTCTGTCACCGTCAGATAAGGTAGGCATTTTATAAATAAAAGTTTTTAAGGGATATATAGAGGTATCAAAAGCCTGGTTTTCAAAACCGGACCGGACTGGTCAGACCAGAAAAACCAGGAACCGGTCAGGTGACTGGTTCTATTTTACTCCAGAATTGTTATTTCCCCAAAATCCGTTGATTTGTTCAATGAACTGCTGACCTGGGCGATCGAATCATTCAACGGCTTAGACAGTTTTTATTTTTTTATTTTTTAAAATTTTATTGTTATTTTTTTTGTTAAAACGAGCCGTCCGTTTGATTCAAATGATCAAACCGTTTGACCCAGAAACGGGACCCCTGGCTGGTGGTTCATTGTGAGGGGGGACTGAGGAATTTGAGATAAGACCCTGAATATTATAAACTATAAAAGAATGCAATGCTGAAAGAAAAAGGAAAATATGCAAGATAAAAACCCTAATCCACACAGGAGCGCTTGGACTTAGGACCATTGAAATGATGGGTCCCTCTCCTCCTTAGGGCGGCCCAAGTTGCCCCAAAATGGATAGAAGTATAGAACTTTTCTTTTGTATTTGATGATATGCCCAAATCCCACATCGGGGCCGTTTTGAATAGCACACCAACACACTTTGGTGGGCACTTGTTTGTTTCTAGTAAATAGGGGTGGTAAGTTGGTGGGTTCCATAGAAAAGAAAGAAACTTAGGGTGTGTTTGGTTTGTATACATGATACAGATGGCCTTTCATCAATCAGAAGAGCTTTGATCAAACAAAGCGAAACTGAATTTCTTCCTCACAAAATGGTCTTCATAGTTACACACCCACCTCGTGAAATAACGCTGAACTCAATCACCACATTGGTTACCATTTTTATAATAGTATAATACCGGTTCATTGGTGACAACTTTTTGCGCAATATCATAGTAGTTGGGCCCACATTGAATAATGGGATGGACTAGGTCTTGGGTTTCATGATTCGTATGTAGCATGTGGGCTCTTATAAGTCGCCACATATAGGATCAAGACCGATCACTCTGGAGCTTGGATGGATCCCAATTCCCACCTCGGGCACATGTTGGCCCATTTCTTCTTTGAAGCCACAGAGTCCTGTTTTCAATACAGTTGAAGCAATTTGAGCACATCCATTTCTGTTTCCAAATCATTTTGTTAGAGCCAAAAAAAAAAAGCATTTCCGGAGCTAAAATAAGAACAATTAAAATTTACAGTCTCTATTCTGTGCAGCTTCCCGAATCACCTAATTTCAAGGTGAGATTGTCTTTGGACGTGAAGAGAGGCGGAGGCCCAAAGAGCCAGTTCTACTTGATAGATATTGGCAGCTGCTGGAAGAACAATGGGGCTCCCTGTGATGGAGACGTTCTCACCGACGTGACTAGATACAGTGAGATGATCATCAATCCTGAAACACCAGCTTGGTGCAGCCCCAAAAACCTCATCAATTGTCCTCCATTCCACAGAACACCCAACAACACCATGATTTACAGGAATGACACTGCTCACTTCCCATATTCCGCTTATCATTACTACTGTGCTCCTGGAAACGCCCAACACTTAGAACAACCTGTCAGCCTTTGCGATCCTTACAGCAATCCTCAGGCACAAGAGCTGGTTCAGTTACTGCCACACCCTATATGGGCCGAGTATGGATACCCAACCAAACCAGGGGAAGGGTGGGTTGGAGATGCCAGAACTTGGGAGCTTGATGTTGGTGGCCTTTCCAGTAGACTCTACTTCTATCAGGTCAGTAATTGGCAACAAATACTTTTACAGGTTTTGAGGTTCAGGTCCATATTCACCAAACCAATTCACTTTCCTCTGTTGCAGGATCCAGGTACCCCTCCGGCTAGAAGAATATGGACTTCAATTGATGTGGGAACCGAAATCTTTGTTAGTAACAAAGATGAGGTGGCCGAGTGGACACTCAGTGATTTTGATGTTCTCCTTACACCCTCGACTCCATTATCTTTATAAAGTAAATAATGTGCTGCTTGGGATCAACCCACTCTTCCACATTCCATATTTTAAATGGGAAACTACTCTCAGTGTCAGATATGATTCACGCTCGTGCAAGTCTTGCAGTCAAGAAGCTTAACAGCAGGCCCGAAGGGCAGGGCTTCTTCCTCCTTGAGTTGAGGCTTGTATATGTGATTTTACTTGCATTATGTAATTCAAAATATCAGAAACAGATCCTCAAATCAATTTAGAATATTTCATTTTTTGGAAACTCGTACAATTACACCTGTTAGCTTTTCATGGAATTGCTTGAAGATTTGCATGTTATATTCTTTGGAAGTTAGGTTTCGTTTCAAACTTCTCTTCCAGAGGACCTTTATTTTTAATAGAAAGGAAGCTTACATTTGCTTAGGCAATAATGCATGCCAAAACTAGATGCAGGGCAACCAGGGGGAGGCTGTAAGATATCTTTATTGTACTTGACAGACATGAGACAGAGTCCATGAGGTGGGGCACATAAAGCATATTTTGCAAGCTCCTTTCGATCTCTAGTAGCCAAAATATGGGGAACAATATCAGGTGGGACTGCTTCCCTTCCGACTTGAAGCAACAAACCTACCTGCACAAGAAAAAAAAAATCTTGAAGCTGGTTTTAACCACGTTTAATACCTGAGTAATTTACTGAAGCGGCACTAGACCACTAGTTAAAGAAATTAACAATGCCCCTACTATAAAAACTATAATAATTACTATTTGACCTGGAGACAAAGATCAAAGTTTTTTTTTTTTTGACTTCTTTTGAAGGACTAGACAATGGGGAGTAGCCCATCCCCCAACCCAGGTGCAGGCGGGTTTCAATCCCAAGTCTCCGCTACGACCAGCAGGAGACCTTACCAACCAACTGGTTGGCACCTTGCAACAAAGACAAAATTCAAAACAACGTAAAGCAAACAGGAAAAACAATCAACAGATGCAATGTTTCACCCACAAAAGAAACATCGGATAACACAGAGATTCAAGACCTGATGTTGAAAGATGAGAAAGAATGGTACCATGTTTCGCACTTGTCTGTACAAGAAACCAGATCCTTCAACCTCAAGCTGCAAAAGAACTCCCTGGACATTAATAAAACCAACCATCAGTTGGAAAACCTTTTGCAGCTTTTTACAAATTTGAGACACAGTAACCAATTAGAGGAAATATACTTTGTACAAGGAAGTGGGAGGCCGGGAGTAGGATATTTGAGATTAATTTTCCACCAGTGTTGAATGGACTCTCCTAAATGGGTGATGTCTCTGTATTGGATCAATGTGCATCAAATTTCAAAATCCATGGATTCTTGAGAGACACTCCTACATGATACTTTCCTCTTTTTCTCCTAATCTATTTGATATAAATTAACAGCTAATGTACATAATGAATGCCATTTTTCCTAATAAAATATCATATAGTAACAAAAACAAAATTTTAGACCCTTTTTATGGGTACACAATGTGAGAATTCAAAAAATATGAACTGTTTTTCCTGTTTATATAATGTTGAATTAAAACACTGTTTCAATGGTACATATTTTTCTGTAGGCATATCCACACAAGTCCATGTTTTACTGTTTTGATAAATAAGACTCTTAGATATAGTTGGGATTCCAACTGAAATACTGCTTTGGAGGATCCACCATGAGAAAGTTCACTAAATAGCTGATTCAGATAGGTTAGTTTTCAGTAACCTTGTTAGAGAAGCGCATGGACTAACTGGTGCCTGCAGTTATAACATCCCAAATGGTGCCATAATTTACACTAGGGAGGAAACTCAAATTGTTGTGAGGGGCTTGATACATACCATTTCAATGACGTCAAAACGGAATATATGCTTTAGAGGATCTGGTGATATATCATTGCGTGATGCATTGACAAAAGCAGAGAAGTCATGCTTTCCAATGAAATACTTTGCAGCCTCCCTCATAGCAACAGTATTGAGTCTATAAGCATTATGATATGCATAAAGACGCTGAAATGGGTCCATGATTGTGTCATTATATATCTTGTAGTGATAAATCTTGCTCTCTGCAGAAAAACGAGCATGGAACTCTGGAAGTACTGAACTAATCTCTCTAACTCGGATATCAGAAGGAAGAAGACCATTAAGTGCTGCATGAATGCTTTCCAAGCTGTGATAGTTGAAAGGCGTAACAAAGTGTGCCACCTGAAACTTTAGTAGCCCATTACAAGTTTATTCATCAAGAAACAATTCTTCTAGTCTCCAAAAGAGTAAGGAAATCAGACCTGACCCCATGCATGAACTCCAGTGTCTGTCCTACTTGCACCAACAAAACACAGCTCCTCCCTTTCCAGTTTTGTTATCCTAGTTAATGTTTTTTCCACAATGCACTGTATGGTAGGTGGTGACTGCTGATATTGCCAGCCTGAAATACAATATTAATGCATTGCACTTAAAACAAGTGTTTAGAAAACCAGACCAGACCGGCCGGTTGAAACGTGACCCAGGGGCCTGACCAGTTCAGTCATACCCCAATAACTGGACTTGATCAAAAACCAGCTGACCAGCTGGTTGAACCGGAAAATCGGTGAACCAGTCCCGGTTTCATGAAACCACCCGGGTCCACTGATCCACCTCTTTACTTATGCTAATTAATGACTACTTATTATACATATTACATTATTATGCACGTATTTTAAAGAAAATGTAAGTTAAAAGACTTGAGCCCTAGTCATTTGTTTTAAAAATTAAGAAGCTTACCATCCATCCACCATATTTAAGTACATTAAAAGTTGTAAAATATATTATATATAGTATTTATATAACCCATAGTATATATACATATATGCCACGTTATCACAGTTTGACCTCTAGTTTGACCCAGGTCGAACCTCTGACCCGTGAACCTCTCCTTTCTCCGGTTCTATGCCCGGTCCAATCCTCTGAACATTGCTTAAAACAATAAAAGCATAAAGCATGGAAGCCCGCAATTTCATAATAATTTGGAATGGTCTGCATCTTCAAAATAAGCACCTACCAAGCATATATAATCCAAACAAAAGATTATGGCTTAGAAACAGATAGGAAGTAAGCAATGGTACCAATTGAGTTCTGTCCCAACAGAACCAAATGTGGCTTATTATGGAAACTGTGGCCGAGTGAAGCTGTCTAACTAATATAAACACAAGAGAGCAAACAAATGAACCACAGATGAGAATAGGATGCTGAAGATGTCCTGAAGAAGAAAGTAGAGAAGTGCACAGTTATTTGTCCATACCAACACAAGAGAAGTGTCATTAAACTTCCAGATGACCCTCATCAAGTACCTCTTTCATAGAAGAATAGAAGATTTTTTTTTTTCAATTTCTCATTTTCCTTTTAACTGTATTGATTTAGATAGTAAACTTGGAAACATCACTATCTATATCATAGTGAGCCAGGTTAAAAGATCATAAAGACTAGGTCAGTTTAGGGGAAGTTGGTATAGTCCGGAGGGTTCAGACCACAAAACTGGGATCAAATCATATGTGAAGAATGACCCTTAACCATAATTCCTAGTTTCCTACCAGATAAAACAAAAACTAACAAAGCTTGGGTGTGGTCTCAATTGGAATAAGGTTCAGTGAGAGGCCAGAATTCTTTTTATTAGTGCATCTGAAATGAAACTGGATCTAATGATTATCATCCCCTCTGGTGGAAGTGGCTCATCCACTCAACGTTCAAGAGAAGCTTCTCATTAACACAGAAAAATGGTGGTTTGCTAACTTTTCATGTTTTCATTAAGCATAGTTGAATAGCTTTCCATGCCTCAAAATCCATGAAAGATGAAAAAGTAACTCTAGGATAGCACTGCCAAATGAGTATAAGAATGAGGAAGCACATAGCCACATACTATAAAGAAGCCCTACAAAATTGGCGGGAAGATATTCACAAATCTGAGAGATTAGGAGGATATTCCCTTGCAAAAAGGACCTTGTCTCTTCATTTTCTGGTGCTCTTTCATATCACAAAACATTAGATTCTCTTTCATGCAGAACCTAGTAATAAGATTGACTAGTCCATGATATGGTCGATAAATTGAAAATTTGGCAACATCAAGATAGATAGTCTTGGCATCAATCGTAAGCATGTTAACTGTTAAGGCAGCTGGTGAAGATGGTTTTGAAAATATAATAAAGGAGTATCAGGCCTACTTCTCTAGAATACCATGAGCAAGGATCAAAGTATCGATATTGGGTATTGTATCAGACAACTCAGGCACAGATACAGATATAAATCATATAAACACATCAATAACACTAAATCTAAAGCTGAATTATTTATTAATAAGGTATAAACACATGAGAAATGCACACTTTAACAGGTTATATGAAGAGAAACATTACAACCAACAATACCAGGACTCTAGAACATGTACACATCATACAATAATTATCACACTATTTCAATTATTATAATTATAATTTTCAATATTTAGGAAATTTTATTTATTTGGTAATTTTATATAAATAATAACTCTACTTTTCCAAATAATAAATATGTTTTCGCTTTTAACATATAAATCATTTAAGGTAGATAAAATAAATTATTTTTATAATTTTCAGTTTTTATTAAATATTTTGGGAAAATTAAATCTTAAACTATTTACTTCACTTTTACAATTATAATTCTATTCCAGTTTTTATAATTACAATCTTACATTTTTATTTTTTTACTTAAAGTTCAAAACCATTCCAAAAGTGGTCAATATATGGTTTCATCAAACTAGGCACCAATATGCTTCTGTATCAATGCTTATCAGACCATATCCACCGATACAGCGTGATACGGCCCAATACGGAGGTGTTTTTGTGTTACGATCCATTTGTCCCACATTGGTAGTATGGGACGGCTAATGTGAAAGATCCCACATTGGTAGTATGGGATGCTGTTGTGGGGTATAAATGTGCTTGAGTTCGCTCCCTCTAACAGCTAGCTTTATGGGGCGAGTTCTCCTAAGGCACATATCATATTGTGCTGATACGCACAACTCGTAGGATACTGTATCATAACAATATGCACAACTCGAAGGATACATACCCAGTCATGGCATATCCCATGCCCATGGCCATGGATACGGATCTGATACGCCCCATATCAGGAGTACCATATCGATACTTTAAACTTTAAACCTTTATCATGAGGAGAAGCTCTACCATTACCTGGTCATAAGAACAAGGCCAGTACAGTTAATACCTCAGGCCCATCAGTCCTTGCTATTGCATAAAGAAAATGAGCAGCAAATATAGTAATTATGACTATAAACTAGGCAATTTGGGACTTTAGTGGAAAACGCCTTATGTTGAATACCAACCTTGATGGAAAGCTTGATTCTTAAGAGGGATGGAATTATAAGATCTAAAGATAGGTCATTTTAGTAATAGCAAATAGATTTAAGTTTAAAGTTGATTCTGCATTGCATTAGGGTAGATCAGAATTTCTCTTGTCCTGCACGAAGTTGTAAAATCCCTAATGAGAAAGAGAGGTGAAAAGATGAAAACCCTCTCTCTCTCTTCTTGTGAGGTCAAGCAAAAGGGAACGAGCTGCAACAAACTTTAGATACACATTGACAACAACCAACTAAATGAAAATGATTTAAAGCATAACAGAATCAATGGAGAGCAGAAAATGAAAATATCTTCTGCTAGAAGTCATTAAAGGAACCCACAATTTAGGAACAAATGACAGAGAACAAGCTGTAACAATTCATATTGACAGTTGGCTAAACGGTTGTTAGCATTGAATACGGATGAATATGTTTATTTCATTTTCTGTTTGTCTTCAATTTTCTGCGTCACCAACCATGGTTCCAAGAAAAGAAAAAGATGGCTCCATCAAAGAGGTAGTGAAAGAAATAAGCTGACATTTATTTCTCTTGGGACAATATTGCAATTGCATGAGGGAGGAAAGGGGAGGAGGGGATTAGACAAAGAACCAACCAGAAAATTTGGTGCCATCATATGCAATAACCAAACGCCACTTATATCCGGGAAGAGTAGGATGCTTATCTTCTAACTGAATTTGTTCAGCTGTATCTCCATCCTGCTTCTGCTGCAATAGGCAGTAAGTTACAACACCACAAGAGATAGAGAGAGAGAGAGAGAGAGAGATACCAAGCTATTGATTGACGAGGGAAGAGATGGGTTGGGAGGAGGAGAAGAGAATCCAACGACGGCATAACTCATCCCCCAAGCTCAAGCTCCGCTACTTATCGGCTTCTGCTGCTGGTCCTGGAGATGCCGATGTTTTTTGTGGAAAGCGAGGACAGCTTTCGTTTTCCCACTTCCTAGTTCCTAATCTCAAGTCTGAACTCCGAACTCCGAATAACAAGGTAGCCAAGAAGAACGTTTATAGGTATGATATATTGAATTATTGATATTAGGTAGATCCAAATCTGACGACGAAGAGGTGTTCACTCCTGTGTGACCCCATAAGGCTTTAAATGGATCTGCTATTCACACATGGGCGCGTCACAGGTACATTCAACGTGCATTCGGAACATCTCCCGTAAATAATACCTTATAAGTACAGAAGGTGCGTGTAAGGTCGGTGTCAGGCGCCCTTTGTGAGAAGCTGATCCGGTCTTGCTTTAATTACCCACCCCGCCTCTGGATATTTCTTTGGTCCCTTCGATTCTTCTCGGTTACCAATTGATACATAACTGCTTAACTGAAAGACAGAAGTAATAAGTCATTCAGCTCAGCCTCTTCAGCCGTTATGAACATCTACAGTACAGACCCAGATTGTATCACACTTCTTCCGCCGTTCGAATGTGGGACCCAGATTGTATCACATCTGAAGATCTGTTACCTGTGCATCTGGTTACCTTATCAATCCTGACCGTCCGGTTATAAGTGAAATCTTTAGCCTAACACTACTGCAGCAGTGCTGGTGCCGCCTCGGGAACAATTTTTTCGTTTCGCACTTTTTTGCTTTCCAATTTCATCTCTCTCTCTCCGGTGCCATTATTTGGGATTTTTGGCTAAAGGGAGATGGACCCTCCGAGCTAGGACTAGGGTTTTAGGCCCTTGTTGGAGGGTTTCTCATTTCTGAGCAGTAGTTTGTTGTGGACGATCAGAACGCAACAGGTTTGTGGTTCTTCTCCCTCTACATATTTGTTCTTCTTTCCTTCTCTCTTTTGGTTTTTGTTCTCTTTCTTTTTGACTTTTCTTTCGCTCATTGTCTATTCTTTGTCATTTATCCTTATTGTTCGATCTTTCATGGTCTGTGATGGCATTGCGATTCAATTTGTTTGAATTTACCAGTAATCCGAAGCAAGTCTTTCTCGTGTTCCATTTCAATGAAATCATTTATACTAATGCTTCGCTGCTTCAAATTTTATCTTTTAAAACACCATAAAGTTTTCATTTCCCAAAAGTTTTTTTTGGTCGAAAATATATTTCATTAACAGAAAAAGCACAGAAGCAGCTACAAGATCAGAAACAACAAAGCTCAACAAGATATTTAGTACCCGGGGAAATTATTCTGTAAATTATCATTTTCTCTTTGGTTCCGCGTGATAAAAAGGATTTCTTTAATCTCACTCGTAGGCACTCTCCGTGCATCCATGGCAAGGGGGAAACTGATTGTTATTTGTCAGTCTGGCGGAAAATTCACTCCCAATAGCGATGGTTCCTTGTCCTACTGTGGGGGAGATGCTCATGCAATGAGTGTCAACACTGAAACCCGGTTCGGGGAGCTTAAGTCGGAAATAGCTGAAATGTGGAAGTATGACTCCAATTCAATGGCTATTAAGTACTTCCTTCCGAACAACAAACGCACTCTTATCACAATATCCAGTGACAAGGACATACAACGCATGATCGATTTTCATGAAGATTCAGCAACTGTTGATGTTTATGTCATGACAGGAGATTTTGTAGTACATGAAACCTCAAATGTCTCTTGCAGCAGGTAATGCATTATTTGAACTCTGCTTCAGGAGCAATTACAAATTAACTTGTGAAAACGGGTCTGTCGTCAGTTGTCCATTAATTAAAGTACAAATTTTGTTGGTATTGTGACTCATGAGGAGGCAACTTTAGTCCTGCCATGAATATGAAACCAACCCATGTGAGTGCAGACCCATGTCTTGTGCTATGGTTGATGGCCTCAGGCTGATATCACTAATAAAATCTTATAAACTCATGTGGAATACTTACTCATGTAGGTCCAGCAGAACAACGGTTGTTGAACCTGTTACAACTGTTGAAGCCCCAATGAATGCAGTTGAAGATGGTGAAGATGTTGGCCAACAGAAGCTTACAAGATTGTGGGAGAACAGCATCACTGGTTTGCACCAACAGTTTAATAGTGTCAATGATTTCCGTGATGCTTTACGCAAGTATTCCATTGCACATGGTTTTGCCTACATGTTTAAAAACAATGACAGTAGACGTGTAAGTGCCAAATGCAAAGCTGAGGGCTGTCCATGGAGGGTTCATGCATCAAAATTGTCTACAACACAGTTATTCAGAATTAAGAAGATGAATGCAACACATACATGTGGAGCAGGCACTGGCACAACTAATCGTTCACAGGCTACAAAGAAATTGGTGGCAAGTATAGTAAAGGATAAGCTGCGAGATTCCCCAAATTACAGGCCAAAGGAAATTGCCAATGACATCCGACGAGATTTTGGTATTGAGCTGAGGTATTCCCAGGTATGGAGGGGGATGGAGACTGCCAGGGAAGAACTTCAGGGTTCATATAAAGAATCATACAACCAATTGCCTTGGTTGTGTGATAAGATGGTAGAGGCAAACCCCGGCAGTGTTGCAACTCTCATCACTAGGGATGACTTAAGCTTCCATCGTCTATTTGTAGCCTTGCATGCTTCACTTTTTGGATTTGAGCATGGTTGTCGTCCCCTCCTTTTTCTTGACACCATGACTTTAAAATCAAGATACCAAGGGGAGTTACTGACTGCCACTGCAGTGGATGGAAATGAGGGTATCTTTCCTATTGCTTTTGCCATAGTAGATATTGTAAATGATGATAATTGGCATTGGTTTTTGGTGCAATTGAAGTCTGTATTACCAACTTCACAACCGATTACATTTGTGGCAGATAGACAGAATGGAATAAGAATGTCAATTTTGGAAATATTCAATGATTGTCACCATGGTTATTGTCTACATCATCTAACAGAGGATTTGAAAAAGGACTTGAAGGGGCCTTTTACTCAAGAAGTTGTTCGTGTGATTGTTGCTCAATTTTATGATGCTGCCTATGCGCCAACACTTGAGGGATTTAAGAAGTGTACAGAGAGCATAAAAAGCATCTCCCCTGAAGCTTATGATTGGATTGTGCAAAGTGAGCCCGAACACTGGGCAAATGCATTTTTTAGAGGTGCACGATACAACCATCTCACATCTGACATTGCAGAGTCATTCTATAGTTGGATGTCAGAGCTACCAGGGTTACCTATTGTCCAGATGATTGATACCTTGCGCCGTAAGATGATGGAGCTGATCTATACGCGCCGGGTGGATTCAGATCAATGGTCAACAATATTAACCCCATCTTCGGAAGATAAATTAGAAAAAGAGATTGCTAAAACCCGCTCCATTGAGGTATTATTCTCACCAAGTAGCAGGTTTGAGGTCCGTGATGAAACAGACGCAATTAATGTAGTCGATATCGATCATTGGGACTGTAGTTGCAGGGGATGGCAGATAATTGGTTTACCGTGCGTGCATGCTCTTGCAGTGTTTGAACGAACTGGTGGAAATGTATATGATTACTGTTCCAAATATTTCTTGACTGAGATGTACCGAGTAGCTTATTCCGAGTCCATAAATCCAGTTCCAACTGCAGATAGGCCTGTTCACAGAGAATCCTCTCCGGTGAGAGTACACCCCCCTTCTGTGCGTCGCCCATCAGGTAGACCAAAGAAAAGGAGGATTAGATCAGAAGGAATAGTTAAAAGGCCGCTCCATTGCAGCAGGTGCAAGGGACAAGGGCATAACAAAGCAACATGTAGGGCACCTGAGTAGGTGCATTACTTTTTAATCACCATGTATATCTGTATTCTAACTGTATTGAATTAAACTCAGAATATGTCACTTAGGGAGGGGTGGATTGGTTCGAAGGGAAGGATTTTCTGCTATGCGATTACAGAAGCGCGTGCTTGCGCACACTCACACACAGAACAGAAGAATATTCAAATCTGCTGTTATTTCAACTAAGTCTGTGTGCAAATGTTTTTGTACAATATTTGTTTTATATGTGAAAGAATGTAAATTAAACCCTATTAAATTTGGTTGGTTTCTAGTATTATGGTTTTTTCTCCATGGTTTAGGTATTGCACTGTACAAATTCAAACAAAATAATACAAAGTACAGGGTTTTGCACTCTACAAATTTGTATTTGTATTCCTTCCAAACTGAGCCTTAAACTAAAATAGCCGTATTCTTATATTCAAGTCTTGTGAAGTTGTTCTACTCTTTTATTGCAAAATCATCTCTAGCTTCTCATCTGAGCCCTAACTGCCAATACCGTTGTTATCTTCAATAAAATAACAGTTATATGTAGCTGTAAGTAATGAAACAAAGGTGGATACATAGACCTTCCGATATGGGATTTTTTTTTGTCTTTTTTGTTTAGGTAGGATAGGAAGTAGGAAGAAGAAACTTTACCATAATGAAGGCTAGAGGAGATGAGGAGGAGAGAGACAATCTCTTCTCACAGGTCAGGGCCATGTCCAAGTCCAACCATCATGCGCATCAACGAAAAATTTTGTTCTTTTCGCTCAACTGGCTGAGTCTGTAAACACGAGCACTTGTTTTTTACCCTTTCCATCTTTTTTATTGTTTTCCACTGCTGGGTTATCATTTCAAGTTTCGACAGCAACATCCGGCGGTGGTTTACACTTAAAATGGCCAAGGCTCAACACTAACGCACTTTTATGCCATAAATCCTGGTAAGTGGTAGCTACCAATTTAAAGTGAACTAGGACGCCTGGATGGTAGCTACCATCCAAATAATCCAATGGGGCTCTCTAGCTTTGGCTCATCCTAAGATGGGCTGCATCTGTATCAATTGCAACTAATCAGACATTTACTCCTAATCAGAGCGCCTTTTCATTTTCGTTCGTTCAAAGTATTGATACGTATCCACTGACATAGAGCTTCCCGATTGATACATATCCACTGATATATATCGTATCGAGAGCTTCCCATACACCCCTACAGAGGGTGTATCGGAGTTTTGATCGATTCAGGAGGTGGATAGACCTTAATCCGAACTGGATTTGAAAAAAAATAAAAACTAACGATACTGCCCGATACATCTTTACTGACGTATCGGGCATATCTATATTTTGAACCTTGAATATATCTGGTTCAAGACCGTCCCACTCCGTGGCAACTGCTGGCTGATACTGATACATCGTCATACATGTTCATGTATCATAGATAGGAAAAAGTTAAAACTCATTAATAAGATGAGATTGAGACCTAGTAAAGAAGAATATACATAATTATACGTACCATGTCCAAAATGATCTTGAACCCAGTCACTACACCTATTTCAACTTTTTAAGTTAGAACGAAACCTGTGATCGTAAAAAGAGAATACCATAGTGCTAAGATCAGCAGCTCAGTTTCAGCTTTTAGTTTCCCTAGTCTAGCTAAACTAGCTACCATAGCGAAACTAACATCTCCACGCTAACAAGAGAGCATATAATCTTCGATTCAGACCACACCAAACCATTCATCAAAAAATCCAGACCACACAAGGTCTAACAAAGCAATAATGCCATAGTACTCTGTACAGTCCTGAAAAACTTTACATAGCAGTGGTCAAGCACAACATTGCTGCTCAACGATATTCTGCATAGACATATTCTGAGCCTAATATTGGATTGGCTAAAATTCCAAGTGTTTTTGTTTAAGTTGGTTGTTTGCATACAATATAAAAAATAAATATGTATCAGCAAAATACATACAAAAAATGGCCCAAGGCTTTATGAAACAAGCCTAGTGCCAAAGATCCGGAAACGCCTGCTTCCCCAACAATCATTTTTATGCTTGTAATAGGATTTTATACAACACTCCACCCATGGAGGATTTCTTAGAACATTCTCACCTTTACAGGTTCCACCTTCAATGATGCCGAGCAATCTGTTCCTTTTGTTCGTCAGAACATCAATAGGGGGAAAACCTTCAAAAAACTCCATCTAAAATTGACAGATTGACAAATAAAATCATAATAACAAATTAGTGGACCTTTGTTTATAGTTTATAAAACGACACGGTTTCAAAGCTACTGCTTATGTAGAAAGAATATTGTGTATTGATGAAATAAGTTGATGCCACAGGGAAGTCTTACCCCATCTTCAGCAAATAAGTAAGCGTGTATTCTTGCAGTTGGATCCTCCAAGGTAAATCTAATCTTATGGCTCCGCATCCCAACCCGTGAACGGAAGAACCGTTCGGCTCTCCAAGGACATGCAGCTACAACACGAACAACAGACTTGAATTTGGCAGTTACCTGTGATACACATACCATCTGAAAGTTGCAATCACTCGAACATGAACTTCACACATTGTTGCATATTGAGGAATTTCAAAAATTGCCTTCTGGGTATCAATTAGTTTTAAGATTTTATCTATTTTATTTCTAACAATCAATAAGAAGTGACAAAAGGTATATAACATAAACATATATATAAGGGAATTTCTTTTAAATGATACAAGACCTCTGAATAAGTGAGAATTTCCATTAGCGTCATGTATGGCAGATTTTCATTATCTGTCACTGGAAAAGAAAATAAATAATTAGGCAGAAAATAAAATCACTTTTCACTATAAAACCATGCTCATTATGTTTAGAAAGAATACATGTACCATGAAGAGAGCCAACAAATAGTTTCAAGCATACTTGAGAACAAAATACTCACCTGTAACACAGCAATAATGTGGATTAAATGACAAAGGCAAACGCCCAACTTTAGCTGATACCCGATCATCATAATTCCTACTTCAAGAAAATGTGCAAAACAAAACAACCTTTATCAAATAAAGCATAAATAGACATATTAACATAATTACAATAAAGAAACAATTACCTTCGACATTTTATTACAAAGTCATCCTCATTAGACAAAAGTCGGACCTTTGAATTAGGCATTAAAATTCCATACCACAATCCTGAGCATACTTGACAGCTTATATTCCGGAATTTAACCCAATGGTTGCTATCTTTGAAGTGTAGTTCAAGTTTTTCATAAGCTCGAGGCACCACACGTAAAATGGTTCCCACACGAGGGAATGTGCACAAGGTCTCTCTTGGTAAAGTAAATGATTCAAAATTCAAAGGAAGTGGCTTTTCAACTTCATCTTCTAGCCTGCAATTCAGAAATAATAGTAATGTATTTTCTTCTCTTTTTCATATGTCATTAATCTAATAACTTTGCATGGTCAAATTTCATGAAACTTGTAAAATCAGACAATGAATTTGCAAGAGAGGATGAAACCACAACAAGCATGTTTATTTTTTTAATTAAAACCTTATGTCGCCATCCAACACATGGGATAAGGTTTGGTTGATTATTATTATCCAACACATAGGTTCTAAATATGGAACCATAAAATTGTCCCTTCACATTTTCCAGTTTAAACAGGCAGTTCAAGATGCCCCAAAACCAGGAACTGAAGCTGTCCAATTCATCATTTTACCAGTTCAACCATCTGGTCCAATCAAAATTCTAAAACACCGTACGACATTCGGATACTTCTAATTAGGCAATATTCTTTATTTCTACTTCAGAAGAAGTGGGTAAAACTGATTCAAAACTCAAAAGTGCATCCAAGACTTGGAAATGTTAGAACATCAGGCTACATAAAGAGCTAACTTCATGTATTTAGGTATACCTAAAACCAATTTTGAACACAAAGGTAAACTTCAAATTAAACCTTGATCACAAACATAGAAAAAACTGAGTTTGCAGGGGGGCAAAAAGAAAAAGAAAAGAAAATGATTAGATAGAGGGAACCTAAAATATGGGAGCTAACTTTTTGGTGAACCTTTCAAAGACAAGTCAAGTTTTTTTTTCATCATTTCCAAATGCAAAGCTTGTAATATAATATAAGAGCAATTGCACCACAAAGAAGTGGAGGGATATACGGTTCTAAAGTGTCTAAGCACATTTCTTCTTAAAGGAAAGTAAACAGGAGTTGAAGCTTAAGTAGCCTAACAAACAATAAATTACACAAATGGCAGGTTCCAAACTAGCACATCTTTGTAATATGTAGGGTTAGCCTAACAAGGGGTATGGATTCCAGCTGTCTTTAGTTTCTTACTATGCATAATATTTAATATGTTTTGTGCATGTACAATGGAATACAGACACATCCAATTGCCACCCTTACAAGTAAACAGTATCATCATCTCAACATGAGTGCACCAAAAAATCTTCAATATAGTCTATATGCATATTGTATCTAAACGTGCATATAAACTTACAGGTGTGAAAGGCATCCAGCCTAGGGTCTTGGGGTCTCAGTTAAGATCTGTTAGTATATTTGAGTTGTAATGTAAGCTGAGAGGCTGTTCTCAGTCTTTGCTCCCTTCTGGGAGGTCCTCTGTATGGTTCTGATTTCTATCAAAAAATTTACCTTACCTTTTTCAAAAAAAAATAAAAATAAAAAAGGATGAACAATTTCAACAGTAGCTAATATCATCATCATCCAAGCCTTCTCCCAACTATATTGGGTTGGCCACATGAATCCTGTTCTGTCATTTCATTCTGTTTAAATGCCATATCCATGAGCATGAAAAGACAATTCAGGATTCTTGCTCATTAGAGTTTGGCAAAAGTTTAGTGTTGGCTGCCAACCTGACGCAACCCTCCTGTTTTATCCAGGCTTGGGACCAGCAATGTAAGACAAGCTCAAACTGGTGGAGTTAACAGTGGCTAATATGCTTTCTACAATAAAAGAAACAAACACAACTTCTAACAAAAATAAAACCAGGTTAACCAACACTTACTTTGTTTCCAAACTTAATGGAGGAGTATCAGTTCCATCCCATACAAAGAGTATCCACTCATCTTTAGAAGCTTCGTATACATACAGAACCTTTTGATGAGGAAAAAAAATGTGTTAGACGGTGTATATTTGACTTGAATAGAAGTAAGCATCTTATCCATCAGTCTAATATTGCTGACAAACATAAAAACAGGGGTTCAAGTCTGAGAGCAGACACTTTGCACAAAAAAGTGCCAAAGGTTAGGTCTGTATCCAGTTCACCCTTTTCAAGATTCCAGGCAATTGGAGCCAAAGGTAAGCTGCTAGGCACTTTGATAGGGTAAATTACCTTACAAATCAAATCAAAGAACTTTCCCGCCTCTATATCTTTCAATGACCGCAGGTATTCACTTGATCCTGGAAGGCATTGATAGAGGTTGAAGCTTCAATTAATGGCTTAAAGTAGAATGTTAGTAAATTCAAATGGTTTATAAAACAAACTCATCACAAGAAATCGATTCAGTCATAGTGGTGCAAACTGGTGTAGGTCAACAAATACTGGGCTGACCTAACCCAATTCCAGGTTCAACCCAACCTATATATCCTAGCTTAATTTGTAATGCTTAATAGGTTGTTTATAACAATTACTGTCTTACATTTATCAAAAAAAAAAAAGTTACAACAGCCTGACCAAATCCATTTCGTTTATTATAAAAATGGCAGTTTGTTGTCATGCACCTGTCGGGCTAACCTGACCCAACCCAACTCAACACAATTATGAAGGTTGGGTTACTCAGCTTAGCTTAGGGTTACATATTCTAAAGTCAGGTAGGCTCATTGGGTGAGGCTCAAGTAGGGTCTATTAGGTTGAGGTACCTTATCTCAGGTTTGGCTTGGATTGACCTCAGCCCATCCCAACCAATGTTTTAAAAGGCATGGGAAGCGTACGCTTGGAGGCACGTGCCTCCAGGCGAGGCACTCCCAAAACGCACTGAGGTGCTAGGAGAAGCATCCCAGCACGTGAACCAAACACCTGCTGTAGAAAGGTGTGTACGCAAGCGTACGCTTCTGTCACACCTTATACTAGAGGAGTGTGCCTTGCATTTGTGACATTTTAAAATATTTTCTTATTTTATTTATGTTTTAATTGGTGGGGCCACAATTATATCGTGGTCCCCATTTTATTATATCAATGTTTAAGTGTGGAACAGGGAAAAAACCCCATTGATTCATTTTGCAAATCAACACAACTTTTTTTTGGTAAGAAGCAAATTAACACAACTTGGGGCTCGAACCTGCTGAAGCTTCTCTTCAACCAGCCTCTCAAATCTGCAAACAGGTTGATTTTCATTCCCTTCTTTTTCTTTTTGGTAGCCCTGTTCAGTCTTGAGCTTGAACAGAGCTACATTTAAAAAAATAAAAAAATAAAAAACTCCACACAGCTATGTTCATTCATCCTCACTCTGTTTTTTTTCTTATTCTTTTTTTAGAAGACCTTAAGAGGACCAAAGAGGCAAAGACACCACACTGCTGGCTGCAGCTTCAGCCTTCAATTTCAAGTAACTTCTATCTTATCTTCTTTTAATAAATTATTTCTTGATTGTTCTTCCCTCATTTGTGACTAAAGAATAATATTAAATTGGAATTTCTGAACCTTAGACATGTTAATTTAGTCTATTGACTCTATTCTGTTAGAGATGTAGATCAGCTTTTTGTATTTATTTTTACTTTGTTTTGTTATATATCAATCAAGAATTATATGTTGTTACTTGAGTGGAAATGAACTTGACTACTTGGGTTGAAAACTTGAGATTTAGAAATCAAGTATTGAGTCCATTGACAATTTGACAATTGAAATTAGGCCATTTAAGTGTTATGTATGTTTTTATGCTTGAAATATATATTTTTTATTAATATACCCACTATAATTATTAAAAAAAAAATACATGCTTGAGGCCTATGCCTCCCGCTTCTGAACTACGCCTCACGCCTCCAGGTAGTGGAATGCCTCGCGCCACGCCTTCACATTTTAAAACATTGATCCCAACACAGCCTAAGTTGCACTCAAGTCAAACAGAATAAGGATGATCAACTTGATCCATCCACCAAAGCACCATCAAACTATAATCCTTCTACCCCCAATCTTGTAATATAAAGCTCAAAGCATGCCAAAGTACAAAACCATTAACAAACCATGTCCTGCATTTTAATGATCGTGGTGTAGCAGAAATTCCTTCTAGAGAGAGAGAGATTGTAATTGGATTTGAGGCATCACTCTCTCTCTACCAAATGTCACAGAACCATGATGGTTGCCTTTGATCCTATCCTGCTAAGCATTACCAATCAACAGGCATATAATTGATGTCATTTCTCAATATTTAAAATGATCACTTTCATTTAAATTTTAGAAAATTTATGACTTAATGCTTCTAAAGATAAGTGTTGAACGTCTTTTGCCACTGCAGTCTGCAGCCATAAAAAAAAAATGGTGGTTGTGTTGGATTCTGTTAGTGGTGTTAGTGAAGGGGTATTTCAGTCTTTGTACTTGTTGAGAATGCTGATGTGTACTGTTATGTTAGTTCGAGTGCCTCTTACTTAAAGAAGGGCACTCAAGTCTTTTTCAATAAGTCAATAATATAATAATAGGTCTGGCCGAATCAAGGGATTAACTTTTTTCC